GGTACGTGTAACAGAACACAGTATAAAAAAATAGTAAAGAAGCCGCGTACTTGCCTTCAACGTTCCGTCTTGTGAAACTTGGTTTTCCGTTGCCGCCGACATGGCGTGATGGGCCACAAAAAAACGCGATGATTTCGAAAGCCAAGATGCGCCCATCCCAGGGCACCATCCCATCCCATGGTAGGTGTCTTGAGCGGCACGTAACAATGGCGATATGTCGCACAGGACTAAGGCATGGTCACCGTTTAGGCATTGCTTAGGCAAATGCGCGGCTTTGTTTTTTGCGGTAGCAAGAATATCAGGTTATCGCTCCCTCTCGCAGATTATCATGATCTGGCACGAGAAGCCGTTTCGGCAGCGATAGCCACCGTTGTAAACGCTACAGTGTTCTTCAGTTCGTTCAGTGTCAATTTTTATGAAAGGGAACACGGCGACGCGTGGCCTGCGCGTTTCGGCGGTAGGGTGCCTGAATGGTTTCCCTCGCCCGCCGGCGGGCGAGGGAAACCATTCAGGCACCCTATTCGGCGGCTGCTGGCAGCGCATTCAAGCGGGAGCGAGAGCAACCACATTCTCTTTTCGCGTCATCTCGCGGTGAGCAGAACAACCATTCCTTGCTGGTATAGAACGACAAGATTGCAACCCCTCTCTCTTCAAGACGATTACCGGCTCTCGCGTAATCGCCTTGAAGAGGGAGGGGGTCGCAATGTTGCCGCTGGTTTCATATCATGCAGCAACAACGAATGGTTGTTTTCCTCGGCGCGAGATGACGCGAAGAGTGACTGTAGTTGCCTTCGCTCCCGCTTGAACGCGCTGCCAGCAGCCGCCTGGGGTTTAGCACTGGGGTTTAGGGACCGGGAGGGCAAAATAGACTTTAAGCAAGTAGACTTAACTAGAAGGAGGTTATCTGATTGGTGGCTAAAGTCAAGGCACGAGTGAAAATTAAACTCTTCACTGCAAAGTACGAATCCTCAAACTCACTTTTTAAGGAAAAAAATAAATATTTTTTTGGGTTCATTAAGTATTACGGCTTGGTGGCGCTAGCCACCGCCCGATCTAAAGGGTACAGCCATATCCATCCATCCATCCATGAGCGCACAGGCAACGCGTCGCCATGTTCCCTTTCATAAAAACTGACACTGTTCCTGTATACCACTTATAGCGCTTATATCGTGACATTCTGCGATCTTCAGGTTGGTGGAAGCGGTAACCGGGCACGCCTACACGAGTTCAAAAAAGCTGACACTCGCACGCGTGGCCACTCGACAGCAGGCGGCGGCTAGCTTGTAGATAGAGCAGATGGCCATGTCGTCACGTGCTCCCGCGTGGTTCATCTTATTGAGGCGAAAGACTTGGATGCCACATCGAGAGCAGTAATTGACCATCGGCATCCTGTATAGGCGGCGTCAACGCGATCGAGTGACGCAAAAAAAAAAAAAACACCGTCATGATGTCATAGGTGGGTAGTGAATATTCTCGTCCTCATAAAGTGACTATGGCTTCGCGCAGTTTGACGTCACACAATGACGTCATACCGCTATACCCTCGCTTGACCGAAGGGGACCCGATTTCAAAGGCTCTGCAAAACTTCGCGAGATGCAAAAAGCTTCAATGACTCTGATCCCGTAGGCCATAATAAACCCTATTGGAAGCAGAAATCTATTGGGGGAGTGCAGAATCGATACATTTTGGCAGATAACCTTTATCGTGCCAAATAGACCATGGAACTTTTTGGAACATCTAATTTGTGACAATTAGTCATTTTGTTCGTTTTCAGTCATTGTTTTGCTGTATCAGTAGTTCGTCTCTTTTTTTTAAAGGCAAAACTTGCTTATTCTGTCCAAAAGGGGCGAAACGTGCTGCATTGGCTCATCTTTTCAATGTTTTTAAGTTAGAACTCTTCTAGATTTTTTTTCCTCGACGCATTGTTTTTGCTATAAGTCATTCCTGTTGTTTTCTACTGTTGTAAAATGTAATATCAAATGTATATATATATATATATATATATATATATATATATATATATATATATATATATATATATATATATATATATATGTACCCACTCCTGCCTATGACTTCGCATAGGAGTAAGCAGTATTGAATAAATAAATAAATAAATAAATAAATAAATAAATAAATAAATAAATAAATAAATAAATAACGCTGGGAGTGTTAGCCAGTCGCTTCGCACTTTGGCATGGTTTCAGAATGGCGCATCCGACGAGACGAGAAACCATACGGACAAGCATGTTTTGTAGGGCAACACTTTATTGAGCGACGAGAGGGCACCACAATCGGGACACGCCATTTTCTGCACCTATTCCGCGTGTCCGGTCACAAACACTGACCTTCGTTCACGTGGACTGCGCAGCAACAGACGGCCCCGTGATCGCATCGGCTGTCGCAAGACCTCTCCAGAGTCGTCTGATAAACGCGTGAGGAAGCTACGCGGACTTAATATCACTTATGAAAAGCCCCGTGACACTGAAGTGAAGTACTATATAGATGCATGAAAGAAAACATTCTGACAGCGTTGCCTGTCATGGTTGGGTTTCGATTACTGAAGCGGACTGTGAGAGAAGTCCAACCGAAATCCTTTAATTTTCAAGACTTGATGTCTGTAGAAGGGTCTTCAGGGGCAAACAGATAGCTTAAGTTTGTCCGCAAACATTGCGTTAGCGTTGTACCAGGGGTTGTACCAGATTCTGTAACTGCAGTGTAAGCCAGACAAGTGCTGCCATCTGGCACGGCCTAGACGAGCCAGGGAAGCATAGAGTTGTAGCGCAGAAACCTAGTGCGTGCATTCTGCTTGTGTATATTTTCGGCAGTGGCCTAACATCGAATTTGTTAGTGCCCGTAATTGTGGTTGCGCGATGCATTACAAGATGTTGGTATACGACAGTCCGCTATCCTCGTATTGACCCCTTTTGTATACCGGAATTCAGGACAAGCTGAAGGTTCAAGAGGTTGACAGGCAGCAATGAGAAATGGCGAAAGAAGGTAAGGATGGCGTGAAAGTGAAGGGGTTTGAGCGGGGAGGGAGGCACTGCAGGAGATATCTGACTGTCCACTTCAGCGTATAGGTGCTTATAAAAAAAGCGAGAAAGAAAAAAAGGTTATCTCACTTTATCGAACAGACTATATATTATCAGGTAACGAACGTGACATCTCGATAGACATAGCTGGAGGCAACATCCGTACGGGTGTTTTGTGGTAGACTTTTTTTTTTTTCTTTCAACATGACGCAATATTTTTTTTATTTCCAACGATAACACAACGGACAACAACTCGGAACAACCTTTCGTAGGGCGCAAACTGTGTTGTGATAGTGCACGGGTGATGATATTGTACTGGCGTGAGTCTTTTCAAGCGAAAAGAAGAAATGGAAAGACGCGAAGATGTGGATAGCGTGAAGCAGGCTGCTGTCTCATGCCGTATACTTTACTGTTTCGTCAAGCGTGGTCTTGTCATTACTTCATTCCAAACGTGCCAAATTTTGACTGTTTTATCGTGAAACCGAACCTGCGGCAATACCCATAGTTCGAAGCAATGATTCGAAATAGAACGAGGCATGTTCAGCTATAGAGCTGCTTTCTGGAGCTGATGAATCAACTTTTAAAACGAATAAAACTAATCAATTACTGTATGGTAACCATACAGTCATGATACTGACTTCAGTGACATAAAGAGCTAACCTGGATACCAGTCCGAATGGTAATTTTTGCCGCCAAAAGCAAGATCACGCACGAACACAAGAAACAGAGAGAATGGGCGCCTGTCACATTTATGTGTTCCTTGCGCTCATGTCGCGGCGGCGTGTCTCTCTTGGTTGGACCGTGCTGCAGGTTTCCGAAGACCTGCATATGCCTGCATGCACGTTCTGCGCGACGTACCGGCACGGCCGCAGCTCCTGCCCCCACAGGACTGACGATCCCTGAGTGCTAGTGTTTTTGGCGCCAGCTCAACTATTCGTGCACCGACTAACCCAAGAACGAGTATTTACTACGAGAGACCAACCAGGCTTAGCGTACACAGCAGCGGCCACCGTGACCGAAAATATAACCCGTGTCCTCTCTATAGCAGGACCTTTATGATCAGGTCATGTGACCTTAAGTTGTTACAGAAACTGGGAGGAAGGGGCCTACGAATACGTTGTCTTCGGAATGCTACAACTCGCCAGATTTCTGAGATTATGTTAACACCCCTTCATTATATATCACCCGCGCCACTCTGCGATCCTGCCAGTACATCAAAAGATGCGCTTTCAGCAGCCTGCATGCAAGTGCATCTTTCCGGGAAACAGCGCAATTCTCGAAGGGCTAAGCCTTTGCGAACAGCATTTTTAACGTGGCGTTCAAGAACAACGGTGCGTGGGAACAACGATGGAGCAATGAGATGGGCACCGTACCCATATGGCGCGCCGGTGAATGGTAAAAGGACTGGTCATAACCGTGCTGGCGAACGTTGGCTTGGTTTCGCTTTCTTTTTGTCTGTGCTGGAACGATGCGTGCTCGGAAAGAGGCCAACAACCATGTTTACAGCTCGCTTTCCTTAAACGCTAAAATGCAGCGCGACAATCGTGGCTTCAAATTACGTGGCGCCTGGTGCTATGAAAAATGAGATGAGCGTGGGGCGGGGAGACGCGGAGTTCTTTGAGAGCAACAGTTCGGAGGCTGCTCATTTCCATCGAACTATATTAGGGTGATGGTTTTAGGTTAGATTAGGTGAGCCAGTAGACCTATTGCAACGCTTGTAAGGAGGGGTAGGCACCGTCGACATACTGAGGCGCTTGTAGCGACGTCGCAGCGCGTAGGCTCCGCCCAGCTCAAAGCTCGCCACTGCCCTCTATATGTCCACGCGATAACTGGCTCCGCAACTGCAAACCTGCCTCCGAGCAGGGTGCATGCGCTAGCTTGGAGGCCCGCTTTGCGGTTGCTGGAATGCCGACATCGTGACTGGCTTTGATTTGTTGAAGTTTATAAAGCCTTCACAACTGGAGTAATTAAAAAAAACACTGGCAAACTCTTCAGTACAGACACAATATAACATCATACAGGTTGTTAGGTCCGACGAAGCTATATACGTAGACCGTTTTTTTTTTTTTTGCCTACGTCGGCGGCACGAAAAAAGTAACAAGCTTTGGTCCACGTTGATCTCACTACGAGTAGGGGGGAGATGTGCATCGCAGGGCACTTGTCGACGTTGCACCGCTGGCCGTGTTACACGGTAGCGGTGTACTGTCGGCTTGGCGACGTCACAGCCACCACGCGTGACGTCATCGTTCGACGTCCTCGCTCGGAGGATATAGAGAGAAGAAGAAAGCGTCTCCAAACACGCACGCTGCTTGAACGTACGTGGTGCGCTTTGAGGTTCCAATGCGGTATGGGGAGGAAGACGTCACAGTTTCTTCTTTATCCTGGATGCATGCTGAGATGGGAAGAATGCTCAGTCCCAGAGCGAGCATTTTTCTCCGGGTTCATGTAGCTGCCGAGAGGGCAATGGAAGGCCTTCGCGAATTCGTCGAAGTTCTGCAAGGCACCGTTGGACCTGCAACAAACAAACGCGCGTGCGGTGACCTCAATTAGAGTGTGACTCCTCCGGATGTTGACTTTTTACTATACGCTGTTGATGTGGTACCACTAGCAACATAGTTGACTGTATTGTATTCGCACCTGAGACTTTTTTTTGCCTTTTTAATAAACTTGCCGTATAGCCTGTGTAACTCTCAAGCGTACGTACCTGTACTTGCCAGGACTGTGCGTTTCGGTCTCGTACTTCTTGTAGCCTTCGTCACTCACAACTTCGCACCAGATCTGCATTTGCCGGCGGTAACATGCGAAACAGAGCAAACAGAAAAAAGAAAGAGAGAGAACGTATCCACGGATGAATCTCGCTCTCGTCGTTTCACCACGCGTATTTAGAGAAACCGAGTCCACCTCCGAATTCCCTCTTCCAATAGTTGAGAGATAAATGATGAAGGTAACCGAGGAGGTTACCTAGGCTATAACGAGAAAAGATGTGTGCCACCTTCTATAGCTGAAAGGATGATATGGTCACAAAAAAATGAAAAAAAGAAAAATGCTGCAGCGGCATTCTAAGTACGTTGTAGCATACAGTTCGCGAATTTCTTAGTTTGTTTCTATGGTTGCATACTGCGGCCAAGTAATTGCCTTTTAAGTATCTTTAAATACTTTTTGTCTTATTTCTGGCAATCACGTCCTGTCTGTGACAACGACGGGCTTTAAAAAAGAGTATACACTGACGAAATGTTAAGGTAGCACAAAAAGGTACATTTTCGGTTTCTTGCAGTGCAAGCGCTTCTTCGCGCACCGGAGCCAGGAGACAAACAAAATGTTTTAGTTTGATTCAAGGTATCGCCACACCAGGGGCGTAGCCAGGGGGTGCCACACCAGGCCCATGCCACCAGAAATTTTTTTTCGCCATGCTATTAGAGAGCAAAAAATTACCATTTCAAGGGGGTGCCCTCCCCAAAATAAAAAATATCCACCCCCCCCTACTCCAAAAAAAATTTCTGGCTACGCACCTCCGCCACGCAGCATGTGCAAGACATGCCCCGCTGCAACGGGCGTTATCATGACGAGTAGCAGCTCCATGGTTTCGCCAACTCGGCGTCCTGCATGCGTGCGGCTGGAACCGTCAACAGCACTGTTGGGAGTTGCTGGAGGGCATTTCACTTATAGCTGTTTACCACGTGTGACATAGAGTAGACGACAGAGCCCACGTGACTTACATATTCGTCACACTGCGTTGACACGTCATTGTGAAGCCACCTCACTGATATCGAAACTGAAACTGTTTTTTTTTTCCTTATGTATAGGAAGCGGCGTCGAAAATGCATTATGTGTTCCGAGACACAACGATTTTCTTTTTAGGGTATCTCGACACCGGTGTTTTTATTTAGAGCAAGAAGAGCTCAAACTTATTAAGTTCGTATCAGTACTCCTTCATAAGATATGTCTCCTTTAAACAATGATTATTCGGTACATAGTACTAAAAACGGCAGAAAAAACAAATTAAAGCAAAAAGACCTGCCAGCATTGTTACACAAAATGCAATATCTTCGAACTGCGCGGGGACACGAAGAAAGAATATTGGGCCGAGAAGCAAGCGCAGACTACGTTTATCGTCTCACCGCGCTGTTCGGATATACTGAACGTTTACCAAAATGTCCAACTTTCCACTCTGCTTAGAGAATTCAAGTTTTGTTAGCAAACCTGGGCGTATTGAACAAAGAAGACTTGTTCGTTGGTCAGACCCAGGCCCGGCAGTCGCGGCTCTTGCCCATGTGTCGCAGCCCAGTTCTTGTACGCCTGCAAAATGTACGAAAAGATAGCGAAACAGCAGGCACGATTGCAGATGGTTACAGATGCACCCCAAGTAAATATCGAGTAAAAGGGTGCATTTTTGTCCCACCAGAATAATATTCACCCGGCTTGCTTGCACCTACCTTCTTGAAACTCGGCGCTGGCCACTTTCCTATCGAGAACGTAATGTCACGCTTATAACACACATGTCGTTCGTAACCCGAAAGTGCCGAGCACGCGGCCGATATAGTGCAAGGAAAGGAACGTAAGAGAGATAATAATTATTGTTGTGGGACAAAAAGATGCCCTTTTTAATCGATTTGTTTTTTTTTTTAGAGTAGAGGGTGAATATTGTTGTGGGTCAAAAAGACGCCCTTTTCACTCAATCTCTTCTTTGCGTGTGACGTCATGTTCATGACGAAATCACATTGCATACGCGTTTTACACGCTTGTCAATTAAACCACTTTCGCTATAGTTCAAGATAAGATGCATTTAAAAATCTGAAGGGCGGTAGAGATAGTGGGATCGGGCATCACTATCTACAACCATGTGTATATATATAAAAAGCAACTACTTTCGCAATATTGAGCAGTATGCAACAAAGTGCTCACTGATTATGGCGAAGCCGTTCTCTTCAGTGTATGACAGTTTTTCCGCTTTTCTCTTTTTTTTCCCTTTACGCCGGTCAAAAAGCTAAGAAGAACGCAAACAGAGAAGGCGTTGTGTATGACATGTAAGGTAGAACATGACAAAACTTGATTAACTGAGAAATTGTGTTGACTTCTGATCTTGTTTGTGCGTCATATTCGCAGTGTGTAGCACAGGTGTCTCAAAGTAATCTCAGAGCAAGAGCCGGAGCTGTGAAGAATATGGAGGGGAGAGGGTACTTGAACAGAATATAAGCCAGTGTTGTCATTTGAAAGAAGGCGCCTTTCTCACATCTGATATTGTGGGGCATTTCTGAAGGGTATTTAACGTCAGCATTCGAGAAACGTATCGATGCTGGTGTCCAGAACGATTGCAGTCTGGGACTTCGGTTCTGAAGTGCCAAGTTGTCCGCCTTGGTGGAACAGTAGCTGTACGGTGCCGGGCTGCTGACCCAAAGGTCGTGGGTACGATCCCAGCCCCAGCGGTTACATTTCGATGAAGTTGAAATGATAGAGGCCCATGTACTGTGTGATTGATGTCCGTGCACTACAAAGAACACCAGATGGACCAAATTTCCAGAGCCCTCCACTACGGCGTTTCTCATAACCATTTCGTGGTTTTGGGACGTAAAACTCCAGACAGATATCATTACTGAAATATCAAGTTTTGGTTCCGCCGTTGCGTTTCAGTCCACGACGACCACATCGGGTGCTTCAATAATAAAATGCGTGAGATAACTCACGTCTTTGCACCTCAGTTATACACTCATCAAGAAACAAATCGTCTTGGACGAAGGCTGTCATATGTTCCCGCGGGGCAGCGTGTTACAGAGCACAAGCTTTACTGATAGGATAGGGACGAACGATAACAATAAAGAGTATTAGATAAGAAATGGGATGTGAACCTACAGAATAAATCACCTGCTCAGGTATATACGCAAACGTGTAGATGCATCGAAACAGGACAATTCTTTGCTCGCTAATGATAGTGAATGTGCGATTCAGGAAAAAAAAAAGAAAACGTAGCACTCGGCAAAATGTCGTTAACTGTATGATGTTAATATAATATCGCACTTCCATATTCAGGTTTTGGTGCCATTCGGCACTTATTTTAGCCCGAGCGCAGAAATTCTAGCCAGTTGCGAAGGGAAAATTTTTCTTCGAGGTTGGGGTAGGGGAAGGGTTACAGGCACACTTTCAGTAAGTTCGATCGGGTGCTTGTATGTTTCCATGTTATATACGCAGCAAAACTGAAAAAATTTAGGGGGTAGGGGGACGGTGAGGTAGAACCCTCTCCCTCTCGATCTGTGGCTTAAAATGGGTTGAAGACTACAAATTTTACGCTAGATCCACTGGGGACTATAGGTGCATGAAGGCTCGGGAACGCGTCAGGTAGAGTTACATATATATGCTGTCTTTAGGTAAGGTAGCACATACACTAACTCAAGTGTAAATGAAGGCACATGGCGAAGGCTGGAAAACGCGTCACAGGTACGCTCAACGACAGACCTAGAAACGAGTGGCGTAGCTAGGCTGGCACACCGGGCCCGTTTCTTCCCCCCCCCCCCGTCTTCATGAAATTAAGAAGGTACTCAACCCCCCCCCCCCCCCCCCTTAAAAACATTTTCTGTCTACGCTCCTGCTGATAACTATGTGATGACTCACGTAATAGGCTTGCTTCACGGCTGTCGAGTCACAGATGTTCTCTTCGAGCGTCATGTTACCGTTCACCTGCGTAAAGATTTCAGCGTGGATTTGAGAGACACGGTATTGGGGCAGACAACTCTACAACAAGACTAAGATTGAATTGCGACTACATTGAGTGTGCATCGAAACTTCCCTTTCCCCTTTCATGTAACTTCCCACATCCGGAACTTGACTTTCCAGGGGAGGTGACACTTCCTGTCCCCCACCCCCCAACACACACACACACACACACACACACACACACACACACACGCACACACACACACACACACACACACACACACACACACACACACACACACACAAACACACACACACACACACATATATATATATATATATATATCGGATGTCTTTATTAAAAAAATTCGCATCATTTCTTCTCTTCCTTTTACTTCTTGAGAATATATATACGTACTGCTACACACTAGGAGTTACTGATATCACTGATGCCCTGAACTGAAAAATGTTGGGCTAAGATGACCTTTAGAAGATGCAACGAACTCTAAAGATTATTCTGATAAGTACTCGGGTGGAGGCAGCAGCCGCAGTATTGTGCATACGAAACGGTACTCACATAAAGGCCAGAGTTCCAAAGTGGGAACTGCGAGAACTGCTCGACGAAGCAGGTTGCACGTTGCCGAAGGTGCTCCAGCGCATCGTCAGGCCACCAGTTCGTGTAATTCCCATGCTTGTCAAATTTCTTACCTGCGTTGAATTGCGTTAAGCGTTCAGTCTCAACATCCTTAGTGGTGAAAAACAAAAGAGATATAATGACACAGACAGGCTTACTAAAAATTACCCTATAGACAGATAGCGCGATTTTGTCACTGCTGGGAAGACTAAGTGATTCTCTTGTGGAACACATCTTTCGGTCTGTGCTGTATTTTCTGCGTTCCACAGCGCAACAGCGGAGTCTCCAGCCCCCTACATCACGGTCATGGATGTACAATCCCCGGAGATCCCGCCCGGTACCAGTTCATCCACGTGCATTGCTTCAAGAAAGCGTGGTAATCCATCTAGTGAGAGCGAGGACACCGAGCCGTACTCTGCATCAGACTACGAGTCCTCGGAAGACGGCTTCGAACCTGTGCTCTACCGCAAGGCCAAACGAAGAATCATGAACGCATCATCGGTATCAAGTACAGCCACTGTGAGGACAGCGCCTCAGCGATGGCCTCACTCCATTCTGTTTGTGCCCCAGACTACTACTGCCAATCTACGCTTCCTCAACAGGCAAGCACTGTCCTTGTGCCTTGAAAACATTGTACCTAACGAGATTAAGGACATCAGGATAAACACGAGGAATAATATTTTGGCAATCGACGTGAGGAACCCGAGTGCACTGAACGCGCTACAGCATGTGTCGGAGCTGGGAAACATCAAAGTCCGATCCATCATACCAGTGAATGGTGACACCGTAACAGGAGTTATCTATGACACAGACACTGAAATCACCAATGAAGATCTTCCTGTACTGATAAAACCAGTGAGCGAAAACAACGTCGTTGTGCATGTTGGTCGCCTAGGCAACTCTCGTTGTGTGCGAATAACATTCAAGGGTGACTGTCTTCCCTCTTACGTGAAGGTTGGCCATTTCCGTCACCAGGTTCGCCCATTTATTCCGAAGCCTATGCAGTGTTTCAAGTGCCAGAAGATTGGCCACGTGCAGGGCGTTTGCAGAAATTCCGCAGTGTGCCCCCGATGCGCTGAACACCACTCAGAAGACGACTGTAATGCAACTACGTTGAAATGCCCCAACTGCCAAGGCGCTCACAGTGCTTCCTCCAAGGACTGTCCTCAGATTAAGAAAGAGATTTATATTCTGAGGCAAATGGTGCGAGACAACTCGACTCACAGAGAAGCTGCGCAGCAAAAAGTAAGGCGAAGGCGCCGCCATCGTCGAAGGTCCTCACGAAGGACAGTGCAAAATCTGACGACAAAGTCAGAAACTCAGGTGAAATCGACAGGCGCGCCTCCTAGCACGGCAAACATCTGCGCTGAAAAAGAAGATGCCGGAAGATCTCTCTCTCCAAAGGAATGGCCACCCCTTCAGCCTAGACGATCTGTTGAGCCTCAACAGAAGCCGCCTACACGACCTGTTGAGCCTCAACAGAAGCCGCCTCAAGAACAAGCACAAAATGCTGCAACAGCCGGGAAGCCAGATCATCGCGTGATGGTGATGCTAAGATCATTAGTGGACACCATTCGCATGTTGTTAAGCGACACGGATACACCGTCAGCCAAAAGTGCCCTTCAAGTACTGGACGCGCTTAGTCCAGTGCTAGCAGCCCTAGAGTAGACCATGGCTAACCCACCACTGTCTTTCAGGGATGAGGTTCGTAAAACAGCAATACTGCAGTGGAACGCCAGGGGACTGAGATCGCGCATTGGTGACTTTCGTCAATTTGTGTACGTCAATATGTTTCCCGTAATCGTCATCTGTGAGCCGAACTTATCGAGTGAAATACGACTCTCGGGATACGAACCTTTTATGTCGTCCACTGTTACTGAAAGCAGCAAGGTTCTCGTGTACATTCGCCGAGACCTCACTTACATCTTTCAACCTGTACCACCTCATGACGGAAACCAATACGTATGCTTAAGAGTGAAAAAGAGGAGGCTCAACATCACGGTGGTTGGCGCATACCTGTCACCATCAAGCCGTTTCGATCAAAAAAGACTACGAGACATCATAGCGTTAACTCCTGACCCGTGTGTTATCTTCGGGGATTTTAACGCTCATCATACATTATGGGGAAGTCAGAATGCCAACATGAAGGGCAGAAGCTTGGTGTCTTTTGCCTCCGACAACCAACTTTGGTTACTGAACGACGACAGTCCTACATTTTTACGTGGCTCCACATACAGTAGCTGTCTCGACTTGGCTTTTGTTTCGCGAAGCCTAGTGAAACATACTGAATGGTTCACGGATATAGAAACGCACGGGAGTGATCATATTACAACATACGTCAAGATCAGAGGATTGTCGCCTCCTAAAGTGCGCGACATGGTTAAAAGAGTGGACTGGAAAAAATTTCAGTCCCGTATGGAAGACCAATGCCAAGAACACATATCCGATTTACAAGAGGCCATCCAGAGCGCTGTAAAAGAGACTGTGTGTACGATCCCATGCCCTGTAAGATTCATGGACATCGACACAGAGCTGGAGCGGCTTCGAGCTTTGCGACGACGAGCTGAAAGAAGGTACCGGCGCACGAACGACATACAAGATTTACGGACTGCTAGACGTATGCAGAAGAAGATCAAACGTCGGTTGGACAAGCTAGCATTCCAACGCTGGATTACTTTCTGCGAGTCACTCAACCCTCGTAAGCCTTTATCGCACATATGGACGACGGTTAGAGGTTTGCGGTCATCGCCCATGCAGAAGTCACCATTCAAGGCCTTAGCCCTTCACCAAAATCGACCAGATGTGGACGTTGCTGAAGAGTTCTGTGCCGGATTATCAGGGCAAACTACAGCCATCAGCAGCTCACCACTTTCGAGCAGTTGTCCGCCACCACGTGATTCCTCTATGGACTTCCCGTTCACCATTCAGGAGCTCAAAGCAGCACTCACTTCATGCAAACGTACCTCTGCACCAGGACCTGACGGAATCTCCTACAGAGCCCTGTGTCATCTGGGTGAGCACGCGAGAATAGCTCTACTTCAGCTATATAATGATTGTTGGCTAGAGGGCACTGTCCCCTTAAGTTGGAAAACTAGTCGTCTAGTACCATTACTGAAACCTGGCAAATCCCCATTGGAACTCTCCTCCTATCGCCCGATCGCATTGGCCAGTTGCGTGGGTAAAGTGATGGAGAGAATGATTCTCGGCCGACTCGAGTGGTACTTGGAGTATCATCAGATCTACCCAAATGCCATGGCTGGCTTTCGACGTGGTCGATCATCGATCGATAACGTCATCGACCTAGTCACGTACGTTGAACACGAGAAAGGCCATAAGCGTCTTTGCGCCTCTCTGTTCCTTGACGTCAAAGGAGCCTATGATAACGTGACACATGAATCTGTCCTTGCCGCACTAGAAGAGATTGGAGTGGGTGGCCTAATGTTTAAGTGGATACGCAGTTATCTCCAAATGCGATCCTATTTTGTGAGTACAGAGACTGGGAACACATCTACACATTTCAGTTGTCGTGGCGTCCCTCAGGGTGGTGTACTGAGCCCCGTGCTATTCAATATAACACTAATCGCTCTCCATACGCACCTACCAAACAATATTTATCTATCAACATACGCTGATGACATCTGCATCTGGACATCTGCGGTAACTCGCCTGCAGTTACGAGCGAGAATACAGAGAGCTGCTACTTCAACTGCTTTGTATCTACGCAATCGAGGCCTGGAAATTTCCTCCGGAAAGTGCGCTCTTCTGGCATTTACGCGCAAGCCCATGTCGAATTACAGAGTGTCAATTAACGGTCAAAATATACCATATCGTCGATCTCACAAATTTCTGGGGGTCATAGTCGACAGAGACTTACCATGGAGCCCTCATGTGTCGTATTTGAAAAAGCGATTGACAGGCATATGCCATCTTTTCAAGTTTCTCGCCGGAAAGACTTGGGGAATGCAGTCTAATGCTATGTTACGACTGTACAGGGTGCTTTTCCTTGGCTTTTTACGATACAGTCTGCCTGCATTATCAAACGCCAACAAAACAAGTCGACGCATGATACAAAGCGTTCAGGCACAGGCGCTTCGAATATGTCTAGGTTTGCCTCAGGGTGCCTCAACAATGGCGACTATAGCTATAGCCAAAGACCACCTCGTGCAGACCCATATTGAAATTGAAGCTTTGAGGATACACATAAGGCATGTGGGCCGGAATCCCCATCACCACCTAGCCTCTCTACCAGTGGGTAGACCTCATACTTTCTTTTGTCGAACAATAACTACACATGGTGACTCCCTACCAAGTGGTTTTACGCCCGCGGCGAGACTTTCAATTCCTCCATGGTGCCTCAAACAGCCAGTCATCAGCCTGACAATATCAGGCATCCAGAAAAAAGGTGATTTCTCAATACCAGCCCTCAAGCAGCTCGCATTACTTCTGCTTTACGAGAAATACCAAGACTGCACCCACGTCTACACCGACGGCTCCGTCCTGCCAAACAGCTCAACTGCGGCGGTCGTTATTCCAACACACGCCACAACCATCAAATTCAGGACAGCTCATGCAACCACAACAACGGCAGCAGAGCTTGCAGCGCTTCGCGCTGCGCTGCGTTTCATTAACGACCAAAGCACGCAACGGTGGACGATTTTTTGCGACTGCAAGGCGGCACTGCAGTCACTTCTGTCGAATCTACGCCGTGGTCCACACGAGCAGTTGGTATTTGAAACAGCAGAAATGCTACACCACATAACAGAGAAAGGGTTATATTTCAGTGGTTGCCAAGCCACTGTGGAATTATCGGTAACGAACGAGCTGATCAAGCAGCCCGTTCAGCCCATACAGAAGACAACGACCAGTCAATACCTCTCTCAAGAACGGACGCTGCTAGGAGGCTCCGCATGCTTGCTCGACAACGCTCCATGGCTCTTTGGAATGAGCCTCTCTTTACGCATGCAAGATTACGATCCCTTGATCCAACGTTAAGCATGCAGCTTCCAACAAAAATTCGACGAGGCGACGCTACTGCTCTGTGCAGACTATGGTTGGGAGTCGCGTTTACCCGTGCGTACGCGTTCCGCATAGGTATGGCCGACACCGCCGACTGTGCACACTGTGGAGATGAAGAAACAATTCGACATATACTGTGTGACTGCCCGAAATACAACCTGGAAAGACAACACCTTTCTAATAAACTAAACAGGTTAGATGACCAGCCGCTGTCAGAAGAAAGGATACTGCGCCATCGTCATGACTCGTCGTCACAGAAGAAAGCCGTGCAAGCGCTACTGGGCTTCTTACGAACTACTGGCCTGTCGGAACGCCTCTGAGTGGACTGATTTTGTGTGTGCGTGTGTGTCGGTGTTTTTCTCTTATTTATTTTTTATTTTATTTTTTTAACTCTCTCTGTCCCTTTCAACCCCCTATCCCCAACCCCAGTGTAGGGTAGCATACCGGATACTAGCATCTGGTTAACCTCCCTGCCTTCCTCTTTTCTCGTTTCTCTTCTCTTCTTGTCACTGCTGGATAATTAAAATACGCTGGTAAAGAACTTGATCGTTAAATCGGATAGTTCACGAAGGTTTACCGCATAAATATGTAGTCACTCTTTCTGAGGTTCAAAATCGCATATTCGTCGTGAAGAAATCTGGTACCGTGCCCCATTCATTTATGCGTATACAGTTTGTTAGATAAGTATGTCAAAGTGCTGCATTTGGAAGAGCATATAATGTTTCTGTGATTCTGAATAAATATTGACTTATAAGTGTCCCATCTTCACTCTTCCTCTGTTCTTATATTTTAGCCCTTTCAGTTAGTAACCATGCAACTTTACCCAGCCACCCAACTTGCTACACTTGTAAATTATACATACATATCAGCAATTCAGCTAACGTGCATGTGTATTAGCACTGTGATTAACATTTTCTTGATTATGTTTACTTATGAGTTTCTTAGTAATTTTACGGCTTGGAAATTATAATCAGTTACTGTTGTCTCATATCAATGAAATTCGCTGTCTCACCGCTAACGGAGGACATGATATAATTTTGCAACCGCCAGAACGATGTGACATCAGTGGTAACCATCTCGCTGGTGGTGCTTCCATGTCTGCATGCCCGCGATGGAACGCCAACACTGACTTATCAAGATGTAAGTGCCGCAAAACAACTTGGCCGCATCATGCAAAATGACGCATCAAACCACATGGAATATACCCTTTGAACTACAGCCTCAATCCATCAACACGGCTATAACTTCTAGCAGAAATGTCTCAACGTGACGCTATAGATATGCGATACCATTGAAGTTGTAAAGTGGACTTGATAAGCTTCAAAAAAGTTAAAAAAGAGAGATCTTGGGAAGCTGGCATCTCCACTCATTGGCCCAGAAAGCCACATGGACCCTTTCAAAGTATTTTAATATAGATTTTTGGCGACACACTGCATATAAGAAGGCTTGGATACCTAATAAAAAATGAAAATTTCCCGCTTCGCCACGTTAGCCGCAAAACGAGTGATGCAAAGTGATCACGTGATGGCGTCACCATTTGATGTAATCATCGCGACAATATGACGTTATTTTTACGTCACTCGGTGACTTCATCACATGACATCATCGTCTGGTCAAAGGTTCGACAATTATGGAGGCAGTGTAAAACCAGGTGAGCTGCCTCCGATCCTGGTGCGGTGACTAGCCCAGGGGGAAACGTGCCAGGCCCCCCTAGATTTCCCCTCCACCCCCCACCCCCCGATATTTTTTGTTTACCGCAGCATACAGAGCAGGAAATGACACTCGGCCACTTCTGCCAGTCCGGCCTTCTCTCCAGCTCAAATAAGCGCACCTCCTCTTCCTCTCAAAAAAAAAAAAAAATTCCACCCACGCCCTTGTCTTGGATACATGGATCCAAGACAGGGGCGTGGGGGGAAATGGGCGTGGGTGACAGGGGCATGGGTAGAAAAAACTATCCGCAACTGACATGCATGTCAGTTGCGGATAGTTTTTTGGTGGGTGGTGAGGCAGGATCTACTCCTAAGAAAAAGATGAGTTCCATCTTCGGGTTGTCTTAAGTGAATGCATAAAGGAGTCTGTGAAACGGGTATACACTCTACCATGCATTTACTATTAAACACGGCACCACCACACCATCCACCGAAGTATTAGTCACCGGAGGAGCCTACGAAGACAAGCTGTGTGGCTTGGAAGAAGATTACGGTATCGCTACCCAGGTGAGCGTAAACAGCGTTAGTGCCGCCTGTTGCTGCTGCTGCCAATCGCTCATGAGCTGTTTTTATGTTAAGTTGGAATTCGACCTTAGGTAAATTCGACATCCCACCGATTCCCACAATGCGAGAGCAGCCATTTTCTTTTTTCTTTCTTCCCCCCCTTTTTTAAGGGCGTTCACATTGACTCATTTCCTCGTTCTGTTTACGCGCGACAACCGGTACAGAATATACTTCTATGCTTCCGCTGATGTGCTACACGTTGTTGCGGCTAAGTGACTCTTTGGGGTTTGAGCCGTTGCTGTTGGCCGGATGCTATCGCTATTAATATACCATGGTTTCGATATTGACCGGAAATAACCAGCGAAGAACAATTCTACAGCGTAAAATGTTTCGGGGAACACAGGAAGCCCCGATGGCATTAGTGCCTCTAGTGAAAAGGGAGTGGCTGCTACGAGGTGACAGGCAAGTTTCAGGATAAGTTATGCGGAAAGCAACTGCTCACCGAAACCAGCAAAGCCATGGGTTATCTCGTGTCCAATGACGACGCCTATGGTGCCAAAGTTCAGGTAGCTGCGGAGTATTAGGAAACCGTAATAAGAAAGTTTTCACACGGCACTCTCGTGGTCAATAATGCTAAGTTCTTTTTCTGCATTTGTTCTTGTAGTTCTAAATTATAAAGAGAATATATATGCTACTATGTTTTTTTATAATAAACATTTTAAGAGAGGCAAATGAAGAGACAATGCCCTCACTTCAAACGCACTAGTTTTTTTTTCTCGAAACAAAAAATAAATAGCTGTTGCCATGTCTTGGCGACATCCACTTGTTATTTTAACGATTTTAAGTGAAAAACACAACAAATGATGAGGCCAGAAAAGGGCACTAGTAGTAATTGTTTTTTATTATTTAATGTTACTTTATATATGTGTTGTATGGTACTTTACATAACCTACTGTACCTCAACTGTTTTCTTTCTTTATAACGTATTATGTACTGCTCCCTTATATATGTATTGTAAGGTGCTTTATATTGCGTACTGTGATTCAATTATCAAGGGTAAATATACGACAGTTACATCTCACTCGTTGGTGGGATTTCAAACCAGAACATTCGCATGACGCGAGTAACACTCGTTCGACTCAGCTATGGCCATGGATATGTATACCTCCAGACACTTCTCTAGAAACTTGCGTACGCGTTAATTATTTTCTAAGAAGATCCCTCGTTAGACCGCGATTATTCCCAAAATAGGTCGGCCATTCGTGAGGTGCACTTCCATGGGAAACCTTTTACAGATTGTACTCCCAGAAAAAAAAAAAAAGCACTTCGCGAGAGAACGAGAATGAACGTTACTTACTGTGGCCTGTCGAGAATGAGCATGGGGGAACGCAAGATCCCAGCTGGGTAAACTGCAAAGGTGTCAGCACACAAAATGGCCTGAACGGGACAATCTCGTAACATGGTACATCATTGACAGATAACGAAACATGCCAGTTAAAAGCTTCAAGTTATTGTCGGTTTTCCAAGCAAGTAGCATGTGGATGTGTGTCTTACGAGGTATAAGTTACGTTGTTTCTTCAAGGCGAACTTTTCAATCAAACAGCATGCAGCACACTAACTTAACCAGGTACTTTGCGCATCTTAAATTGTTGTTAGCACCACTTAAGCTATTATTACGTTACTATATGCGGCAATATGAAGCAAGGGCAGTGCCGGGGTGGTATATCGAGTGATCGCTTATACGATATTCTCACGAGATTTCGCGAGATTAGCACCGGTTGCATCGTCGCATATGCGCAATGACGTTTCTGGCCCGCTGTGTTAGCACAGCTAACGCAATTCCTGACAGCTGTGTCCCGTTTGCGGCAGATCGCGTCCGGTACTGTAGCTTTGCAAATCCCGGCTATGAAGTGAAAGTATCTCTAAAAAGCGATGGTTCTAAAATACCTCCCCCATTCCACAAAGTCCAGTCAATGCAAATAAAAAAAAGAAGGTACAGCAAAAGTTCTGTACTCACTAGCGTAGTTGCCTCGGATGTCATAGAACGCATTTACGATCAGGGGATTTGTCGCCCACTCCCTGTCACGATGGAAAAAAAAAGTAAAAAACAGCGAACATATATATAACCGTACATAGTAAGTATTACCGCCAACGCAAACAATCGTTAGTATACAGTTGTGAGGTATAACTACTCAATAATGAAACCATCAAATATTTTTCGTTCAGCTGATCTTTCTCTTAAAGTGTTGCCTCTTAAAGATTCTTCCCCATGTTCAGGTTTACCCATCGGGGCTGTAATCTTATGCATGAGTAATTGAAATGACCATGAAACGTTTAATAAAAAATTACTAGTCAACTTCACTCACAAACTTTTCTTTTATAGCATAAAGTCGAGAACCATTAAAGCCGTGCCAGCTTCACGCAGACTCTAATGGTAGCAATTAAGATGAGTTCTTTCGGATAAGTAAATGTTAAACACGTGGTGAAATGTGCAACATTTCTTAAACATGTGATACAGTTTTTGTAAATATACAAAATTATCTTTAATTGTAAGAGGGTCTCTTTAAAAATGTTAGCAGATATCAGCAGTGTTGGTAAATTGAATGCGTGAGAAAAGGTAATTACGTACATAAAAAATAGATGCCTAGACATTGAAATTTACTATAAAGGGGGTAGTTTCTTTCGTCTTGAAATAATCTGATGCAAATGTGAAATCGCACTTCGTTTGGGATATTTCATTGAAAGACTTGCCCTAATTATACTTTTACTAGGCACTGCATATTTGGCAACATGAGAATCCAATACTTCGTAATTTTAGCACTCACGGTCGTATTTATTCACGCAAAACATTGATGACAGAGTGAATTAAGGGAGTAGCAACTTACTTTTCCTTATCGACAGGCTTCGTAATCTTTGAGAAATCCCTGGCAAACTCAAAGCGTCGCACCTTGAGAATGTTCACGAGAAAGTGGTCGTCATCTATTTCAAGCTAAAAGAAAAGAAATGACAACAACAATCAAACATTTCCATGTAGTTTTTAGGGAAAACACTGGCTTCATTAACGAGAAGAGTCATTAACGAGTCATTAACGTCTACCACTATTATGTTTTTGATTCATCAGTGCAGCCATCTTGGCTGATCACATGACATATTTCTGTTTTATGTGTGTTAAATGTCATATAACGTCGAATGCATCCCTACAGTCGTTATTACTTCCATGAGTCTCTGCTTCTTATTTAGCACTGCTGATTTTGTTTTTGCGGATACAAAACGACGACACTGACAGACCAAAATGGCGGCTTCGTATGGATTCATAAATTAGGCTATAAACATAATCTTGAGAAGGGCCTAAATGAGGCCATTAGTTACCAACTAACCTAGTTGAGTGTCCAGCATAGTAAGGTAGCCCCCCCCCCCCCCCCCTCCGTAATATTTATTAGAAAGAGAAGGCCAAACGAAACGATGCTCACGTCGTGATATTCTTTATCCAGTTCAACTGGATCCAAGATGAACTTCGGGAAACCGACTTTCTGTCCCATAGCGGAAACCTGCGCACAAGAACGATTTCAGTGTTTTGAAGCGATTAAATGGAAACCAGCACCATAGAGCTTCATGCCGACGGAGATGCTCTACAACGTCACTGTAGACAAAGAAGGCACTGAAAATCGGGTTTTAGGAGCCGAAAATGGGCAGGCGAAACACAGTTCTAGGCGCCCAATATCGTAAATCTAAGCACAATAAATTTTTACATAACTTCAAATTATCTAAAAAAGACGTGCATGACGCATTAACGACTCGAAAGAAAACATACGGGCTATAAGTTTACGATGTAACAAAGGTGCCAATGGTTCAGCATAGCCACGAAATCGTCATTTTCCAGCGTGGTTTGCACGACACGAGCTCTCCTTTTATTGTCCAGCATGGTGAGCTAAGTGTCCAGCATTGAATAAACACACTCCTGGGTCACCTTTTCGGCATGGCTTGGAAGGGCGGCACTGAAGCATATAGCCTGACCGCTAAAAGGCCAGGTGGGTCTTTTAGCCTCGTATTAATCGGATCCAATCTCACTGGGTCAATATCTACTCTGTCTGTGAACACCTCAAAGGTCGCCTCACCCAGGTTTGAACATTGCGAGCAGGCAAGAGAAATGCATGCACTGGGCGCTCACGATATCGTTTACCGAAAATCGGAACGCTATACCCGCCCCGGAAAGAGGTGAAATGTCAGACTGAACGCCGCTTGCCCTTCATCTCGTGGGCGCGCTTCAGCACGGTGGCGGTGACACATATGGTCCTGCATACTATTCGAGGTGACATGTGCAATTTGTACAACAAGTTGCTTGAATAGAAGAATCACAGTTGATTGGGATATTAAAACATACAACCGAAATCTTTCTGCATTTTATTATTTTTTTTTAAAATTCAAATCTTGCAAAATGTGAGATTGAGCTGCCTCCACTTCGTTCGCGCTCATGTTCTCGCCGTTCCCGAGTCATGCTGACGCCAGTCGTGTCAACACTTGGCGTGTTTTTGGCAAATCGTTCCTTGGAGGAGTCTCAGCGGTGCGATGCTGTGTGTCGTTGTAAGGAAATGATACATGATCCTTGCCAGGCTCTCCAAACGTGCGCGCATAGAGGGATCCATCCCACACAAACAGGCAGTTCGTAACAGACAACGCCGAAACGACACAACACCCGGTTGCGTGCACGAACCTGGCTCGACCATGTCATGCGAATGTACGTTGCGTGCGCATGACGTGTTGGTGCATCTGCGTCGTCATGGGGTCTTCCGGCTCCGAGTTGCTTCGATATCGAAGAGTCAGGGAAGGAATTTCGTTTGCGATGTCTACACTTGACGAGTGGCAAAACTTTCAAGCTCACCTCCTCGCATCATGTTTTTGCGGCTCACGACGAACCGATTAAAAAATTATAAAGACACAAAGCTCTTCGTTGGGCACGTGACTGCTTTCAGTGTCTAAGATTTGTCGTGTGACCTGGTGAGGCGCCATTAAAAAGTAAACCACAAACAAAGCAAAAGCCACGTGGACGTGTCATTATTATGATTATTATTTTGACCAGCATTACTTTTGCCTGACGGCACTACACGGCACTGCCTGCTTCGTAATAAAAAACACTGGTTTTCCAATGACTCCTACAGGTGCCCCCTCCCCTCCTCCTTCCTCGAAAAAATTTCGGGCTACGGGCCTGACTGTAACGTATCAACAATAAGGCATCTTAGATTTCTACGATTACCATTGGCATCCATAATATGAGGCACGTTTTCGTCTTCCGTGAACTGTCATGTTTTAACAACTACTTATTCTTCTTTCTCTTTTTTTGTAACGCCTCTCTTCTATCATCTTTTATTTTCTCGATCACCCCCCCCCCCCCTCCCTAGCGAGAGAGGTAGCCGACCATTCTGAGAACTCGCTAACTTCCCTGTCCTTCTATTATTGTTTTTCTCCCACTCCTCCTCAATAAGACCGAAATCTGCCAACATTAATTACCTACTCCCATGCTCGTTTTTACGCCCTTACTACATATGTACACATGCCCCTTTAATAAATAACTTGAGCATTGGGCATCGGTGCTGCTCATGCACTTTTCCCAAGACCAAGTGGGGGCTATCTACCACAAAGACTGGTGGGTTGCTGGCAGCTGTCTTGGCAGAGGTTGTTCCAGTTCTATGCAAACTAATTTCTGTCCTGTGCCAAACTACCGTGGTTAACGTAAAAGAGGTAATGGCAAAACACACCCACCTTCTCACGACAGAGGTCCTTAGTCTTCTCGTCGAGAAAGCTCTGCCTCGGGAAGGTTTCCACGTAGGTCTTCTTGATCTCGTCAATCAGCAACCCTACCTGCGCAGCAGGCAAAGAGTTCTTAAAAATGTCATCTCTAAGGGAGTACGCAAAAAGAAAAAAAAAAACTATAATACAGGAGTCTGCTAATAGAGTATACACTTTCTTGCAAGGCTATCCACACATGAGCATTCTGAAGAGATTACTTTATGTCGGCGTACATATGCTTCAAAAGTGAAATCCGAACTTAAGTGATGGACTGTACAGTGATTTACTCACGTTGTCACTGGAGCCCAACAGTGAAGAACGGCGAATAATAATAAAAAGACCATGGTGATTTAGCAGTAAATGAGAGAACCACGCGTGGTAGCTACAATTATTGCGATAGCCGGCACGTGTCAGCATTATCCAACATTCCTGGTATTACGCAAGCAAATGCGGTATCCTACACATGAACTCATACGCAGCTTGCCAGTGTTTGCATTCTAATGTCACTGCATGCATTAAAAGACAACAGCATAATGTGAAGAGAATGTCATACTCCTGCTTGCCGAAGCCTTCTGTGCACGTTTTGCTCGTTTCGCTATATATACTACACGGAATCGTTTGCTCCATGAGATTAAAGCTTAACATAATCATTTAGCGCCTGTCCCACATTGTAAGACCCGTTCCATGCGCTAGCCGCACAGCCGCAACGCACGGGCTGGCACACCTGCCGCACTCAAGCGGAGGGCGAAAGAGCGTCGCCAATTGGCTTGTTTGTCCCCCACTTGCGTGCGGCAGGGGTCCCGACATGTGAGTTGCGGCTGCGCGGAAAGCGCGTGGAATGGTTTCCGCACAGTCGCAACTCACGTGCCGGGACCCCTGCCGCACGCAAGCGTGGGGCAAATAAGCCAATTAGCGACGCTCTTTCACCCTCTGCTTGGGTGTGGCAGGTGTGCCGGCCCGTGCGTTGCGGCTGTGCGGGAAGCGCGCGGAACGGCCCTAAGCGAGTCTTCACACCTGATTATCGGTGGCGGCGGCGAAGTCCTGTCGTACGAAGAGCGCCGCCAGGGGCATGCTGAAGCTGTCGCTCAGCAGGCGCACGCACTCCTTCCAGCGCGACAGGTAGGTGCGCTCCTCGTGGGGACGCGGCACTCGCCGCCGGAAGTCCTGGTACAGACGGCGGAAGTGCACGTCCAGGTACGGCATGTACGCCATCACGAACCGCCACGACAGGTAATTGGCCAGCGTCCTGTCACGGCCGTTGGGGAATATCAGTTTTACAACGCTTACGCAGCGTAATATATACTGCGCTTGCACGAATGAAAAAAAAAAAAACCGACAGTGAAGGGAGGATGGAAACTTGCGATAAGAAAATCCGTTAAACAGGGGTTATGTGCTCGAGCGGACGTTTCGACAAGTGGAGTTGTGTACAAGGTTGGAACCCTCCAGCCTTGCAGAAGACGAGTAGTCGAAACGTTCGCTAGAGCATACAGCCCATGCTGACGGATTTTTATTTTCACATACATTTCCGACGAGTGTACACGCCTACAATCCACACATTCTCCAAGAAGTATCCACGCTATTCAATGCACGTTTATTGCCAGATCATGAGCAACGTTACTTTATGACTTCCTTAACACGTGTGCTTCATTGCATGGTTCGACTGTGCAACTATCCACATACGCGCTCTCAGTAAACGTGGGGAGCATTATAACTATATTTGCAATAAAATGCGAATAAACGAAAACAAAAACGCGTCAATCGACTGGCAAATTCTACAAAGGACTCAATGTAAGAAGCCCAAATCCACTCATTGTAAGCGGAACCAGCAGCTCCGCTTGGCAACGAAATAAACTCGTGAACGAATGCGGAAACATGAGTTGGGCAGTCGTACATGAGAAGGTAAGAAAACAAACTATGGGAAAAATATAGCAAATACATTTAGCGAAGTCTGTTTACAAACGTTTCGATTATCCGTGACTGCGGCGTATCTCACCTGGGACTGGTCTTGTTGAGGAGGTCAAAGAGCCGGCGCATGTAGTTGCTGTCGTTCTCGATGGCCAGATTGATGGTGGACTCGTCGGTCTGCTGCAGCCCGGCGTAGTCCATCACCCTTCGCAGCAGTGAGGTCCAATTCAACTGCGCATAATAAAGAATGCGGCAAAGTTTCCCGAAGGAAAACTCGAGCGCGCGAAGCAGTATAGCTGCTCATGCCATGCACGAGCAACAGCACCTAACATTAGGCAACAACTAGCCTACACTTCTGGACATTATGTATGTTAAGATGAGCCAAGGGCAGATATTATACATCACACACACTCCTCTCGCTTTACGCTTAGTGTCCCTAACGGCTTCATAGCCAACTTTTTTCTTTAACGTAGGGGTGTTATAGTTTACGTTTAGTACTCTTGATTACGGCGTGTCTTGATAGGACTTTTTTTCAGTCGTAGGTTTTTATAGCAGCAGCGATATATGGGCCCTCGACGTCCATATCTGCCGTCGCCGACACATTTCGTGTAAAGTCGAAATCCACCATATCGCACCGCGCGCCGCATATGTTCTGAATGCAAGCCGAACTTTACGAAAGTTGCATGATACACGCCGGCCGGCTCCATCAGGTGAAGGAGTATACAAATCGGCGCGGAAGGGGGAGGAAGGGAGGGAGGGGGGATGCGTCGCTAGAGCTACAACTGCGAATTTTGATGATGAAAAGAACTGTCGTGCATGCTATATTGACAAAGATCAGTAGAAGGCTTTTATACCTTGTACGTGCTGTGCTCTTCGCGTGCGACAGGCAGCACGAAGACCAATTCGTTCCCTGAAGTGGCTGCATTTCTTTACACCAGCGTTTCATAGAGTTACGCGATATCAAATCCTAAAGCTGCTAGTCTTACTTCAGAAAACAATACAATTTGTCGCTACATCCCAATTATTGTTTCGCTCTTAAGCGAAACTGTGACTTCTTTCTCTATCCCTTTTAGCATTCAAAATGGCGCTGTTCGTGTAAACCCAGAAGCCGTGTTTAAAAGCACAGTTCTTATTGGAAAGTTTCTTATTAAAGGAGCGTCAGTCCTATGTCTCCTTTTGCGTCACCTTCGACGAAACGTTAACAGGCTGAGGCAGCGGAATCAGACGGGAGAAATAGAATGGCGCTGAAGACGCTGCTTATTCTCACATTCTTACAAGCTGTCTTTAAAATCGCAGGAAGTCGTCCTCCGGCGCTATTTGTTCTCGGTGATGACGAATCGGCAACGACATGAATCCCGCATCATTAATCTTCGCCAGTTAGCGCTGAATACGTGACGTCACAAACGCGTCAATTTGTCGAATACCTCCGAAGGGCACAACGAAAGCGCTACCTTGCCAAGGCTTACACGGCTCGCCCGGCCGGGTGTGGAGGAAATTGAAGCCCGTCAGAGCGAGCGTGAACGAGGGCTCTCCGATGTGATGAAGTGCCATCATCTCTACGCGTATGATCGACGGTAAAGCGGCGATTTGCTCCCGGACGGTAGCGAAATAAATGGCTTCCGTTCTGGCGAACTTGAAAGAGACAGACGGCGGCTAAACGACAATCGATGCCGACCAGCTGCTGCTTTTTATAGAGAATGGCAAAACTATAGCGATAATAGTCTAGTTTTCTTTCGACCCTCTGAAAGACGCTTCGACAGGCGCGGAAATTGGGCGTCGGTGGTCAATTTCGGCGTTTGCGCGCTGGCGCTGACTTTATGCCCAAATTTTGTGACGTAGTAGTGACATCAAATAGTATGACGTCACACGATGAAGCCATAACATCACATAGTCTAAGGTCTAGCGATCACGGAAGCAATACTAAACCAGGGAAGCTGAAGAAAGCCAGCATGGCCTCCTATCTTGGAGGCACTGGGAAGCAACGTTGGGCGCAGAAAGCTTTCGGAAGGGTCTGAGGGAAGATCAACAGATAGACTGGGAAAAAAGAAAAGGAGATTATAGTTTTTGCTTCTAAATAGCCTCGGGCGAATTTATAAGGGGTAAATTTTTTTCCTTGTTGTTTAGCTCTTGAAGAAACACAGATACTACTGAATCATCATCTTTTGGAGAAACGTTAGATGTGTTAATATATGGGGTCGTGGGTTCTAGGGCACGTGGGTTCTAGAGCGTGGCGCCACGTCATAAAAGAAAAATTTAGTTGCACGTCTGCATCAGCCGTATGGACGGCGCCTGCCAGCCTTCTGCAGTCGGAGGCTGCGTCCGAACGGCTGCTGCGGACGCGCCACTAAATCTGTCTAAAGACACGCGCTGGCACGCTGCAACGAATACAAGGGGATCAAGGCTCTGAGTTGCTGCACGCAACAGTGGTCATGCATTCGTAGTTTAGGCATCACCCCCCCCCCCCCTTCCCCCGCGGTGGCCTATAGTGGATAAGGTACTCGGCTGCAGGTCGTGGTATCGAATGCCCCGCCGCGGTGGTCTAGTGGCTAAGGTACTCGGCTGCTGACCCGCAGGTCGCGGGATCGAATCTCGGCTACGGCGGCTGCATTTCTGATGGAGACGGAAATGCTCTAGGCCCGTGTGTTCAGATTTCGGTGCACGTTAAAGAACTTCAGGTGGTCAAAATTTCCGGAGCCCTCCACTACGGCGTCTCTCATAATCATATATGATTATGATCACAATCATATATGATTATGAGAGACGCCCATATATGATTATGAGAGACGTGGGATTTAACGTCCCAAAACCACCATATCTATGGTGGTTTTGGGACGTTAAACCCCACATATCATTCAATCAATCAATAGCCGGATCGAATCCCGGCTACGGCGGCTGCATTTTTGATTGTAGCGAAATCGCTGTAGACCCGTGTGCACGTCAGATTTGGGTGCACGTCAAAGAACCCCAGGTGGTCGAAATTTCCGGAGCCCTTCGCTACAGTAATCATATGGAGGTTTTGGGACATTAAACCCCACATATGAATAAATCATCAATCAATCGAATTTTAGGCACCAATGAAATGTGACAACGTGAAACGACAAGTGACCTCAATAAAAAATATATGATTGTGATATCAAAAAGGGCCTAATCGCCGATAATCCCACGATCGCGAGAGCTTAAGTTATCGCAAAACGGAGCATAAAATTACGCGTCTGACGAGCGCACACTTGAGGGCGTCATGCTTTTGAGCTAGTCGGCGCCAAGGTTTACGCTCACAACGCGGCTGAAATTTGAGTTAGAAAACAAAATCACGACATATCCACGACGTGAATGGTGACGAGTGGGGGGAAGTGGACGCACGGACGGATGCTTCGCCCCAGTAATCATCATTCGCTGCATGGATATGCTGTGACACCGTTTTTATTTGAATGCAGAGCAATGCAACTGGCTACTACTACTACGACGACACGGGACATACGAACCACGGAGTAAGAAGCTTCGCCTCTAAAAAACTTTTCTGAACGATTTTTTCTTGTTTAATTACTCTTTCAAAGTACCAGAAACACCGCGCTTGCTGCTGTAAGATTCTTGGTAAGCGATGAAACGAGCTAAATAAAAAATGCGGATGGCAACACCGTCACGAAGTCCCGCGTACAAATCTCAGTGACGTCGCAGATTTCGACTGTGTCTGCCTATACGTAGTTGCCGACAGGTAAAAATGAAGTATACATTGTCTTTTTAGAGAGTTCGAAACTTGGCACACGAAATTTCAAGCAAGTTAACGAAATATGACCAAAATACCAAACTAGCCATTTGAAATCCTTGACGTTCGCCTTTGAAAAGTGCACCTTCGGATATTTCGGCGGAAAACTTAAGAACGCCATTTTCGACACTGATTTTCTCATGTAGTGATAAGCCTAGGGCGTAGAAATTAACGGCACTGGGGTTTGTTTTCATAGAATGGTTTGTCAGTCTAAATTAAATCGTTTCACTTGAAACTGTCCTCAGTGATAAAGACACTAATATACCAAAACAAAAGAAAAAAAAAAAAAGCTGACAAGGACATATACTCAGAGGGCGCGAACAGCCGGCGCCCTCCGCTTTCGCGCTTTTCCCGGGTGCTTATTTATAGCGTGTCAGGACGCCTGCTGATGTGACGTGAAGAAGACGAGTTGAGGGACTCGCCCATTCTGCGTGCGCGGCGCCGGGCGCCTTTGAGGCCCCTCTTTGCACCCTCTGGCACGAGAGACTCGGACCACCGCTTTGCACCGCCAGCCAGCACACTCCTAATTATACATCGCCACGGCTGCTTCGTCTCGCACGCTTGTTCGGGCACCTATCTAAACTATGTTCCACAGCTGAGAAGAAAACGACGACCAAAAGGTCGCGTGTGATTTTTTTTTTTTTGTCGCGCAGCGCAGGATACATTGATCGCCTGAGCTGGGGTGGTGCTTCACTGAAAACTTTTACGGTCACGCTGTACATGGCAACCTGAAGCCATGTTTTGCCCGTTCGACATTGTCGTTCCTCAGACACTTCCTGTGCACCTCCTACGCTCCATAGCAAAATACCTCCAACGGTTTATTACGCAAAGCTCCGACTTGGGCTGGTTGGTACGGAATCATAATGTAATTGCGTTAAATAGGAAGGAACAAATGAGGGACGAAACGATTTTCGACCAGCTTTTGCGAGAATAAACGGTTGAATGTTTGCGCACAACTGGTCCTGTCTTCTTGTTTCGTCACTCATATGCACCTTTTGCAAGTTTTCGGTACTGTTAATTTATGTATACTGCAATGTTGTTGCAATTGCAATGTTGTTGCACTAAGCGAGTCGCTCAGTGCGACAACCTTGCAATTATATTCTTTTCTTGCAACACGGCAGCGCGTGGCCTCACTGGTCCTTTGAATAGGGAAAAAGGGAGCACACGGGCGGCAAAGGCCTAAATAAAATTTCTGTGTAGACGTAATCAATAATTGAGGGACACTTTAGTTAACCGCTTTTTGGTCAAGGATATTCATCGCGGGAAATGCATCTTAGGCAACTATATACACATACTGACCGTCCTGGCACAGCTTGGCAGTATGCCCTTCCAGTTTATTATTTAGCGCTTTCATATTTAGCAGGTTCTTAGAAAAGAACATGTATCCCGTATAATATGTTCAGAGTACACTCGCGCACCTCTGGCCCGAAGAAGAAAAAAAACAACTTGGAAGAAAGAAAAAAAAAAACAAAGAATTGAATAAATATATAAGGAAAGAAAGAAAGCTGGGAAGAAAGGAAGGGAGAGCAAATAAGAAAGGAAGAAAAGTTCATTGATCGCGGTTAGAAGCTCATACTCACTCAAAAGGAAGATATTTCCGAGACAGTTCTTACCATTGATTTGACTTTAAGCCAATATATCGAAAGCCAACGTACGGAAAGTCCACGAACACGAACATACACACCTGTATGAGTATAGGCACCCGCACCCGTACACGCATTTGTAGCGCGAAAGAACAAACACACACACGCACGGACGCACTCTCTCGCATTCGCACACGTATATAAGAACACCATATATACACAGACGCACGCACGCACACTGACCCGAAATAAGGTCCTACGAACTTGCCAGGGGCCACGCGTGGCCGACTAATTGGAGCACCACTGCCCAGCATCGTCGCGTGGTGCCGCTACAGCCACTCGGGATACGCGGCCAGGAAAGCGACAGGTCGTTAGCGCCACCGAGCCGAGCCGAAATGGCTTCTCAACGCTCCCGAGGCGCTCGTAATCGATCTCTCGCCGTTCCACCGAGCGCTCGTATATATCTCTCCCAAGGGATGTGCCGCGGTTCGGCGGTGCTGGTATAGCCAGCGCTCTCAGTGCGTCGGCTCCCGTTAACACTGCCGATCGAGGGCGAAAAAAAAAAGGGAAGACGAAAGAGTACAGAGGAGGAACAACTGCCGCTCCGGGAGCTATAGTAGTACACGTTTCGCGCTGTTGAGCCAGGTTGTGTGCTATTATCCTCCGTGGAGGAGCCCCGAGTAAACAGAGTGAACTTCAACTTTCGTTTGTTCGTGCTTTTTTTTGCTCACTTTTCACTTCCGGAAGCTCGTTTGAAAACCCTGTTGCGTTATCTTCTCTTTTCATTCCTGCGTACGTGCGTGTGTTTGTGTGTGCGTGTGCGTGGCATATAACAAAGAAACACCACGCTTCATCTCGCTTGCGGGCATCAATTAACACCTCTGGCTGCCGCGGGCGATTTTTTTCTTTCACTTTCACTAGTAATGTCAACAAGCTTCTAAATAGAAAGAATGCGCCAGCGTTGTACGTGCCAACCATCAGGGGAGTCATTTAGGTTGGAGATAGTGCTGCTATTATGTATTTTTTTCCTCGTTCTTTTTTTTTCTTTTTCTTTTTTTTTTTGCTTGGTCTCACTGAGCTTTGAAACCACTATGTGCTTCCTATACCGCTAAAAAAGACACAATTGTGGTTCGTGGCCCCAGAAAAGTGCGCAGGGTGAAGACTCCGTTACACGAAGGTGCAAGAAAGCAGTCACTCGCGAACACTTTTTCAGTGACGGGGGCAAAGTTTTGGGCGGTCAAAAGCCGCGTCACAAACACGTACGTTAAGTAGCGAGTTCATCAAAGCAAGATAGAAAAAAATCAGATGATTTTATACATATTGGATTGACGTGCAGGTTCATAAAGAAATCACAGCATATGCACAAAGTGATTCATGAGGAATGGGCAAAGTAGTCGGATCGTTCGGTCTTACCGTAAATCACCGTGACATTGTCCAATTACGGATGTAAATGAGTGCCAAGTGGCGTACACTTATATGCTATGTTTATTGGTCGATCCAAAACCTATATAATCCAAAACCTACAGGCTGTCTCTGATCCGAGGCCAACATGTCGTCATCAGCTATGTTCATTCATTCATTCATTCATTCATTCATTCATTCATTCATTCATTCATTCATTCATTCATTCATTCATTCATTCATTCATTCATTCATTCCGAGAGAAGAATGGTCTCCAACCTCTGGCGCCATATCGTGCAGCTCCGCCAGTGTGACGCTGAGCATGGCCGAGTCGTAGTTCGACGACGAGTCGTTGGCGGCGCTGCTGTTGGACGCTGCTGCTGCGGAACCCGGTCCGTCGAAGTCACTGGAGTGGGATACCTGCGTGCGACAGATGTCAAGGACAATCAGAGTGCAGCGATGGTTCAGATTAATGCAAGGTCACCACAAGTAGTCAACATCAGTCAAACGGAAGGAGCACAGCAATCGACTTATGGCCCACTTCTTAGAGCTGGGGTCACAAACTTCCGCAAGGGCCGGAATAATAAGGCTGAAACATGGGGGCGGGGGAATGGGTTAGTTTGAATGAAAGGCCAGATAACGTTGCCACTTGAAAGAGACCCTTTCCATATCTCCTAAATGTCCTAAATGAATTATTTCTGAAGAGGATTTGAAAGATTTGTTTACCGTATAACGATACCAATCTCCGCAATGAGTCAAATATGTACACTAATTTTGATATTTAGAGCTACGTTCTAAGGCTTTGTTGGAAAAGATGGTGACCAAGTGGGGCGCTTCAAGGAAGAAAAAATGCTTTTGACCAGTCAAGTCTGCGTAACATGCCCGTACAAGGCCTTATTAAGCGCACTAGGTGAGAAAATAACAGGCGCGGGATTTCGCAGTCTCAAAATTTCAATCACGAAGTCATAAAAAAGATGCTGCACGAGGACAGTCATATACAGTCCTGGTCAAAAGTTCCCAGGCCACGCTTCTATAGAAATACATGAGGTAGTGGCCTGGGTACTTTACGTGCTGGCCAGCTGCCGAAAGATGCTCGGAACACGTGTTTGAGACCCCTGTCCTAAAGTACTGGGTAAACGGAGCTTATCCGTGGGTTGGGAATGGTTGCGAACAATTATAACCAGTGAGTGTGAACCATTATGAATTGAAATGAATACAGAGAAACCGGCGTATCGGGAGTAGTATGTAATATGTCGCAGGCTAGAATATCGCAGGCCGGAAATGATTTTGTTAAACACGCACGTTTGCAAACTGTATTTCGAAGTCAAGGACTTCTTGGACGTCCATCTCCGGGTCCTTGGCACCGAGTAGCCTGGCCGACTGCGCCAGGATTTCCTGGTAGAGTCGAAGAGCCTCGCGACACTTGTCGTCCGTCTCGTTGAGGTAGTACTCGCTACGCAGTACGGGAGAGCCGCTGAATATCTGCGAAGGAGAAAGCAGGGGGGCTTCGCAGAACTGCGTTGTTATCGTCGCGCAAGAGCGATCCCGTCGTGTAATGTCACGTAAGATGTTTATGCTGTGATGTCGAAAAATGGCACCAAAGCTCCGGCGCACTGACTGCTAGCGCAGAGTGGAGGAAGACAAGGTACAAAATACAACAGTTGGCCCAGGAGGAGGAGGTATAAAATTTATTATAAGAAACCAGCAGGCTTAGGTGGCCGGGCCTCTAGGCTTCTCATGATCTCATGAGGGGACGTCAAGGGCTTGCCAGTATTATTTATATTTTTTCTTCTATAACAATCTATGACTGTTAGCACAATTAATCTTTTCGTTTACCTAAACAAAATCTTTTCAGGCATGCTCCGTTTTTTTTCCCCAAATACCACTGCCATGCGAATCATGGCCGACCCCAGTGGTGGGTTGAGCCACTCCTCTTGTGTCCAAACAACCAATCAATCGGGTGCTGTCTCTGTCTGATTCCTGACAATGTACATATAGAGCACACCTTTGCGTAGCGAAGCAAGACACCTGATATTTTGGAAGACATCGGGGACAGACTACCGGCGAATGACAGTCGGCCTTGGATGCTTGCTTGGGGTCCAGGCGCTTTGCAAAAGCATAATTTCCCGCTAAACTGTGGTATTGCGCGTATACTTATGCAGAAAAATGCTAAACGATGTAATTTTTCTGGTCCCAAGCAAAACAAAAAAAAAGAACTGCATTGCGCTGTCATTCTTATCTCAACTTGCTTTTGTTTGAGTCAAGTTGTCATTCCTATTTGTAACTTTGCTTCTCTCTGTGAATACCACACGCAGAAGCATCGTCTTGCCTTTTCTGTCAATGCATGCACTCACGTACTTTTGTACCATGACTAATTATTTGCCTGGTGTTCTTATGTTTGCATGATTGAACCTGTACGGCATGCATGAAAGTTTAGTCGAAACTAAGTAGTTGAGCGAACGAAAAGTCATTTATCAGAATGGAGTACTGGTGGTAGCCCTGATGCTATGCAATGATTTTATTGGCAATCAATGTGCGGGTTTTGCTTGCATCCCGAAACCACGATATGACTATGAGAGACGCCGTAGTGGAGGGCTCCGTAAATTTACACCATTTGGGGGTTCCTGAAAGCATGCGCTTAAATCTAAATGCACGCACCTCTTGCATTTCGCCTCCATCAAAATGAGGCCGGCAATAGATCCCTCGACCTTCGGGGTCAGCAGTCACACGCCATGACCACCAGACCACCACGGTGGGTATTATACATTGAAGTTATACATTGAAACGTGTTAGGACATGCGAGCCTGGCTGGTACGTATTATAAAGCAGAATTCAATATAAGCGAACCTGTATGACGTGCATCGAGGTGTTTCGCTCGTCCTGGCCCACGTGCAGCTGGAAGAAGGGCTCGACGCCGTGGACCCGCAGCAGCGCCAGCCGTTGCTCCAGCGCGAGGGACGCGCTCGTCATCGGAGGCTTCTGGCGGGATCCCTTCTCCAGCGTGGGCCACGAGCCGAGGTAGTCTTCTCGGAGGAGCTCCTTCAGCTCGGCCACCGATCCTTCCTCTACGCTGCCTGCGCAAAGCGTATGTACGATTGAAATGAGCGGGTCAAGATGAGCAGGAATATATAAACGAAAATAAAAAAAATGTAGGCAACACAATAACTGCATTGTTATTGAAATAAGGTACTTATACAGTTTTAACGGCACCCAACCGACGTCAGCCAAACACTGGCCTGAGTTTTGCTGCTACCGCTAGCCATCGTTTGTGAACTTACTCAATATATAACTGCGGCCAGCTGTCGCTAGCCAACATCACCAGTCGTGTTTAGTCAACGTTAGCAAGTGCTAACCGATGCTAATAAATGCTGGTAATACGCGAGTAAATGAGGTAGTTGAATGAGACCATAAGCATTCACCGCGGTGCTCCTCAGGAGCACCGCGGGGAACGATGATCGTTAACCGTGTCATTATAGACTATCAATACTATCTAAAAGAAGGTTAACACAAATACGTTGACTGATATCTCAAAGTACAAGTGAGCAAATCCGATATAAGAATGACTGCCGTTTCCAATACAAGTGTCATTTCTGCACTAAAAGCAGTACTCTCAGTACTAGTGCGCCACTCCTGAGAAACCGTTTAAAGCGTATCGAGTTAACAGCCTGTTCGCATTGGGCGCGCGCCGAAGCACACATTCACGATAAGCCCTGTGAAAGAAAGAGAGAAAGACTAAAACTTTATTAGAGTCCAGTGACACCACGTGACATCGATCCAGCACACAATTCGCGGGTCGCGCTGTGCGCTGTCGTACGCTGAAGAGCTCGCCGACAGTGGTCGAACGCCACCGCACCTTTGGTATCGCCATAATGACATATCAATACTAATAATGAAGTGCTTTGCCTTACGCACAAAACGTACGCGCAATCTAACCCTGTAAAGACTGTATACAAAATAGCAACAGAACCTATATTTGCGTATGACCCCCCCCCCCCCTTCCTTCTCCCTCTATTTCTACACTCAGTGTCTCAAGGCTTAAGTTTCCTTACGCACCAGACTGACCCGTACGTTCGGTGGAACTGCGCGGGAACAGTTCAGGAGCAGATTCATAGACCTCATTCGTCGAAGACTTCGAGCGGACCAAAGATTTCTTAATCTGATGGTACCTAGTAAAATTTCATTGATTCGCTAATTAATCATTAAATTGGTTTATAAATATTGAACTAATTAGTTATTTGTGAAATACATCGTGGTGGAAACCAGCGTCTACCACAGGGAGTGGGCGCAGAAATACTAGGAAATGACATAGGCGACGCATTTCGTATCGACATGTTCACTCACTTGTGTTCATGCACGAATTGTACAGCGCCTTCACTTTGCTCACTGCCGAAGTCCTGTTAAGAGTGGTTGGCTCTTCGAGAAGCTCTGAAAGGGAAGAAGCAGAAGTGGTTACATATAGGTATGTAACAGAGTAGACTTTTTAACAAGTCTTATGAAGGTGAGCACAGCGAATTCTAAACGAATATAACCACTGAGAGCCTCAATACCGGTGATTCAATGTGCGATGGTGAGTTGTGACGAGTGAAATAAATGTGGCACTACCAGTAATTTATCACAAAACGAATGCTTACGACATTAATACGTGCTGTATGGCTAAGGAGTACATAATAAACGAACAATGAAAACACTAGGAACCCTGGAATCAATGTGTATACGCATCGTATAATGAGCGTCGTCAGCGACAAATAATGAAGTTGTATTCGGGTCCTTTTAATTTTTCAAAAAAGATGATGTAATATCATCATCATCATCATCATCATAACCATCATTCGTTATCATATTTGCGCCTATACTTGTTAAAAGAAAGAAATGCAGTGTTGTAACTCACTGAGCCAGTGCAGTTCGAGAGTTATCGACATACGAGTATATCGTCTAAAGCTCTCGCTCAAGTCCTACGGGCACCTTGAACGAGACAGTATCCTAGGTAATTTGAATTCAATGTAGTTCTTATCAAATATACAGCATAGAGTGAATACTATACTTATTTATTAATATTATTATTACTTTTTTGCACAGCGACGTTTTTCACTTGTTTCCTTTCAACACCGACCCTTCAGAGAAACGCTGATGGGGGGAGGGGGGTAAAAACGGCTAAATGACGCAATATATATTTCAGTCTCTGCATCTCAAGTACCTCATGAAATAAATAATAATAAAAAACAGAATGCTAAAAGGAAGCCACTGTGTGCCCGGCGAAGTTGAACGACCCTGCGACGCGGTTGTGTATGTGTTGGCTGACCTCGCAATTTACGGCCGAGCGAGCGGCACTCTCTCTCAGCGTCGTTCTTGAGTTTGTCTGACGCGTGTATTCGTTTCGGTCGTCGCCGTCATAGCGGCCGTCGGTAAACAAGGACGCGAATGGCATCAGGAGAGACGCACTCTTGAGCCGGACGAAGATGGTGTCCTGCATGCTGATGAGCACGTTGGTGTAATAGTGGTCGTCCGGCGCCGAGTGCTGGTGGACGAAGTTGCCGCACGCGAATGCAGTCGAAAGTCCTCGCACGGGTCGCGGTGCATTTGGGCACGCTCCAAGATGGCCGCCGCTGCAAAGATTCGAGAGAGAAAAAAAACACAAAATGAGGTTAAGACTCTTATCATTCAGTGACAATACCCAATCGTGTAAAAGGTCGACATGCATATATCCAATCTCCTAGGCCAAGCCTCGACAGGTGTCAGGTGGTTGCCTGCAAACGTCTTTAAGCCAGAACCTACGAGAACTTGGTACTTCTTGACCGGAATGATACCCTAAGATTACGTGTAAGTAATGTTATGATAGAGGAGCCAGCCTAGAGTAAGTTAGTCTGGGATTGCGAAATAGGTCAGAAGACAAGTCCTGTCCCCCCCCTCCCCCTTTACTCACACACTAGGTCAATTAAGGGTGTGTTGGAAAGTCGCACTGACTATGTAACTCAGACCTCCAGGATCAAAATTGGACGATTTATCAAGTTTGGAGACAATCTCTCGACTGCCTCCGGCGCTGTCCGGACCCACGCTATAAATCGGCAGGTTATTCAATAATGTTTTTTTTTCTCACTCAAGTGCTAGTGGGCGAGTCGTGGTAGATTTTCTAAACAAACGATTGAGCAACAGATTTAGACATACACGCAGATACAAGATATGTGGACTAGCAATTGACCCGAAAGAGAACACTCAGACGGCGCCGTGTGTAAATTTCGCGCTGCTACCAAGGTTCTCCTAATGTGATTCATCTATAGTCTAAGGTATAAGTAAAAAAAAGGGAGACCTCCTGATAGGTGGGAAAGATGAAGAGAGAGAGGGGTGGGTGAAATTACTGATTGATTGATTGAGTGATTGACTGACTATTTATTTATTTATTTATTTATAGGATTTGGACCCCAATGAAGAACCTGTACCTCAGTATAGATTTAAGGTCGATAGATGTGTAGCGTTCAACGTCCCAAAACCGCCACATGATTATGAGAGACGCCGTAGTAGAGGGCTCCAGAAATTTCGACCAGAGGGAGAAAGCAAAGACGTGAGAGAAACGCAAGGAGATCAACCAGAGTTAGAGCACCCGGTTTGCGACCCTACACCGGGGGATGGGGAAAGAATGATGAAAAAAAAGAGCGGAGAAGAGGGGGCACGCGAAAAGAATAATAAAAAAAAAGATCGGCAGATCCCACGAACCTTGGGAATCAATGTTATGCGAAGCATGCAGATGCAAGGTTATTGTGTTTTATATTTTTTATCGAGCTAGACGTTATGAAGCGGCGCTAAATGTACTTACAAATTCGCGTACACACGTACGAAAAACCACCGCCTATGTTTCATATTAGCAGTTGTTTACAGTTGCGTAACGATGTCAACAGCAACACGGATATCACCAACACCAGAAGCGGCAAGCTGATATGAAGCGCTGGTGTTCGCACTGGTGCGCGCGAGGATGGTAGCCCTCAACACTGCTACACAAATCAACTTCAGCGGATGGCACCTAACTATACAATATACGTTAACCCGACATGGCACGGCGATAGTTATAGCGCGAGAACAGAACGACGATACAGAGACAAGAAGGACACGAAGGACACGAGCGCTAACTTCCAACTGAGTTTATAGCGCAGAGCGCCAAAATATATAGAGGAGACAGTAAACCACGTGACAAAAAAAAACGCTATAACTATCGTCATGTCACACCAACTAGCCCAAGCTGCCACACTTCTAACTGACATGGCGGCTGCATTATAGGAACACATATTATCGCGTAGTCGTGACATTGACGAAGGCACTGATCAGTACGTCCAACATTAAACTGTTTATTTGGCCGAAGATGTGGCCGGTAAATGGAAAATCAGATTACACCAGTACACACTGGCCCGGATAGCGGCGAACTTAGCGTCAGCCGTCGATCAACTGACAAGTGATGACGCGCGTCAGCATTTATACATGTGCCGGCATTTATACATTGCAGCGAGATCGCTAGCGGCCACGTACGCTTCAGAAGAATCGGTAATGTTCCCGCTGTGCGCATAACCGCATAGGAAGGTTTTACGAATATCTCGATGGTGTTTTAGTCAAATGGACATGGTTGCGCAAGGCAGGATTTACACGTATAATAGGGCGACAGGAAAACTTGAAAAGGGAACATGGCAATATGTAATGTCTATGAAATTAGATAGCTAGTATGGTCACCACATCTGACGTTACACGAACATTAGGGTCTATTTGAAAAGTTTATATCTGAGGTCTGGCGTGGCTCTATGGCAGAATACTTCAATGCCACGCAGAATGGTAAGGTTCGATTCCCGCTGGTGCACTGGCATTTAGTCTTTGCACTCTTCCGGTCAACGCTGCCTGTGGCAGCTTTTCCTTAACCGAAGTGCGTTCTCGCCGTTCCTGGGTAAATATATAATGTCTACCTGTGGCACATACCCGCATGCCAGTCGTAACTACCCGCCCCTGGGTATGTTACACCGTTCTTTGGAAAGTGTTTGACGACGTGAGCGACGATATTGTGACATTATTTATGTCACGACAAGCGCGTCGTATTCGTCGAACACTCTTACCCTCCCGTACTAATTTTGGTGCACCCCAAGCTAAGGGGGTGATCAGGAGAGCACCCAGACATAAGCGACTAGATACGCGAATGGATGCCAAAAGTACTTGCAGGGCGCAAAGAAATGCTTCGCATTTAAAAGAAAAGATGCGGAGCGGGAATCTTATTCAATAGGCCGCACCGAGATATCGATAGACTGTGCGCTCGAGAACAGTGACAAAGAACGTGTTCTATAGTTTATTCGCTGACGCAGCCGTCATAATCAACGCTGTCTTTCATGTCGATTCGGAAGGCGAAAAGATCGGTGAAAGCGACACCAAGTGGTTCCTCTGGCTATTCCGACAGGAATATTAGATTATGTAAATGGAAATGGCAGGTGTTCCACGCGTGAGATAAGGACGGCTTTTTATTGCTGTTCATAAATAAAAAAACACTTATAGTGTTTCTCCGAGCTGCCTTTGAAAACAATCCTGCAAAAAAGCACAGACCTGAACCAACTCAAATGATACCAGAGGTGGGCCGAATGACGCATCATCAGTGTGTCTGTGTCAGTAAGCCATCAATCTCTCCGTCCGTTAGCTCACGTTTAAGAGCTCCGGCACATGCGCACCGCTATAGCGACGGTTCTCTCAGTAGAGTTTCTTTTGTATTGTTTCAGTATTTTTTATTACTATTTTCGAACGCTTAGTTCATCCTCACTGTGTTTTCTAGAGCTCGAGCATCGGTGTATTTCTTCGTCTCCGTTTATTACTGCTGCGCTCGTACAGATTCGAAGAGGTATTCCAGTCACGCCATAAATGTTCCGAGCCGCGATGCGTTGTTCTGTTTCCGGTGACCACTTGCCGGTGGGCTTGCTTGTTCTAAGCGGCTCTTATCGATAGGAGGAAAAGAACGGAGTCGTCCCAGTTTGCGGAGATGGCGTAGAAAGGGTAATTGAGATTAGAGAGAGAGAGAGAGAGAGAGAGAGAAAATGAAAGGACAACCAACCGAGGTCGTACTCCGGTGGGTGGCTGTGGAGGGTCATTGTATTAGAGAGGTCTATGTTTTTTTTTTTAAATTTAAAAAGGCGACCCCTCCCACCCCTTATGGCCGCTGTGGTAGCTCAGTGGTTAGAGCATCGAACGCGTTATTCGAATCCCACCCCCCATGCCAACACCCCACTGTGGCTTGCTTCTTCTCTCCCTTTGACCAACCAAGAGCATAGCCAAAACACAATGCATAAGATCTGCGAAAGCCCGCCCCTGCGAAGGAACTCAATTTAGTGGGTGCCCAACCAGAAAAAAAAAAAAAGATAAGTAACGGCTCCAACCCTCTGTACTTTCGCGAATTGTCCGCAGGACGTCTCCTTGCGTGACAGCGAGTGTTTTTTGGTGTCAAAAACAAAACAAAAAACAGCGAATGTGTTTTAGCGGCGAACTATGCATTGTGAAGCTTACCGACTAGGCCAAGAACAAGTTCTTCTCGAGACTTTGACACTCTCTACCACACCAATTTGAAAAATGAGGCTTTTATGGTCACACGTAAAAGAGGTTCATCTCCCCAATGTGACCCACGCATAAGGAAACCCATTGTTCGGAATCATCGAGTGAGATGTGTTCGTGTGTTTATGCGTACGTGTGTGTATGTGTGCGTATGCGTACACGTGTGTGTTTGAGTGTGTGTGTGTATGCGTACGTGCGTGTGTGCGTGTGTGTTCGTGCGTGTGTATGCGTACGTGTGTGTGTGTGTGTGTGTTGCATAAATGTGTGTGTTCGTGTGTGTGTGTGTTGCGTACGTGTGTGTGTGTGAAACCAGACACCAATGTAGTTACCATCGTAGTTATTGCGTGAATGTTTTCTGCGCCTATACCGCGTCATATATATATTTTTCATTCTCAAGGCACTCTTTCGCGGCGCTTCGTTTTTTCGCATTCTCCACTTTGCCTCTAGATGGCGCTACCTGTGGAACACACTCCACGAGAGTGATATAACAAAATGAACATTTACGCTTGCGTTAAAAAATAGAGAGAAAACAAAAGAGAGAGAGAATAAAGAGAGAGAGAGAACTTGAAGAGGAAAAATAAAGTAGGAAGGCCAACCAGCTGAGCGTGTGGCTACGGGGACGAAATATCAAAGGACGAGGAAAGCGAACATTGAGGGCAAGCGCAGCAGGATTACGTTCTAAGAAAGGAGAAAACATTGTGCGCATGCGTGGCCGGACTGCACATTAAGCATTTGGGACACCGAACATTTGGGGAGCATTTCTGCCACAGAACTACAATGATCATCTAGCCTACTAGCATTTCTTTTTTTTTTTTTCGAAAACCGCCCTGTCGCGGTGATCTAGTGGCTAAGGCTGCTGACCCTCAGGTCGCGGAGTTGAATCTGGGCTGTGGCGGCTGCATTTTCGATGGAGGCGAAACTGCTGTAGGCCCGCGTGCTCAGACTTGGGTGCACGGTAAAGAACACCAGGTGGTCGAAATTTCCGGAGCCCTCCACTACGGTGTCTCTTATAATCATATGGTGCACATGGTTTCGGGACGTGAAACCCGCCGTACTCATCAATCATTTTCTTGAAAACTCTGCTCCGACCATCTTTTACCAAGACTGCTGTGCCGGCGCATGCCATTCGTGACCATGCAGTGCCCGGACCGCGGTGGTAACGCGAGGTGGATGACGTTTATACTTTCCTGGCAGAAATTTTCCCGAAATATTACTCGTTTTTTTTAAGAGTGTGCAATACTATGTAGAAAAAAGGATGCGAGGTCAACCAATTTTTACGTGGTCTTCTACTTCGAGCTAACGAAACAAACAAAAACGAAAAAAAAAATTGGGCGTATACCCTCAAGCTTCACCTTTGAACGTTGAACGTCATAGCTATATTGTTCCTACGCACTTCAACTATATACTTAGTGCATACTTTTTATTGTGCCATGTTACTCGACAAGTTTGTTTTGCGGATTACTACAATGTAATCGATAAAGTCGGAAGTGGCTTGTATCAGTGAAGTTTTCGCACAGGGAACTCGGTAAATTCGAAATTGATAACATAATAAAGCGATATATCTCAATAAAGTGGAATGTTGGGCCAGTTGGTGCAGCATAATGTGGAAATATATGAGCGCACAAGGTAGAATGAAGAAAGCACTTGACACTGCAGTTGTAATTTGAGCGTTTTTTCTGTCAAGAGCTTCCTTCCTTCTAACTTGTGCGCTCATATATTTCCTCATTATGCGATATATCTCTTTATCTGAGCCAATACCCGGCTTCTTGGGTGAGAAAAGCGGGAGAAAAATTGACTCAAGACTGAGGTACGGGAGAAGAGGCGTTTAAAAAGAGGGAAGTTCAAGATGATAACAACAGATGTTCATAATTTCTAAATTAAAAAAAAAAACGGTCGTTACACACGCGTATTCAGATAAACCTCATTCCTGTCACCCTTTTTTTAACTTGTGTACGAAACGTTCGAAGCACTTACCCGCTCGAATGCATTCCGGGCTGTAACACGTATTCCTGGTTAAAGGTGGCGGTAGTTCCCATTGAGGTTCTTCTGAAAAAATGAAGTGAAAACGAAAGTTAAAATTACTTCGAAAGAGCTACGTGCAGACAATTATCATGACAAACATTGATTGATTGATTGATTGATTTGTAGTGAAGCCTTGAAACGCTGCAGTGGGCCGTCCTCTCCAGCGCCTTTCTCTGGATCCTCCTATTCGGCTGTTTTCGGAAAGAACGCTGCCGGTGATATGATTTGACTGCCGCTATCGCAGATTGTTGTATTTATTTATTTAGTTAGTTAGTTAGTTAATTAGTTAGTTAGTTAGTTAGTTGGTTGGTGAGTGAGTGAGTGAGTGAGTGAATGAGTGAGTGAGTGAGTGAGTGAGCGAGCGAGCAAGTGGCGACTTAAAAATCTCAGTTCTTTTTTTAAGAGTGCGTTATTATGTCTTTGTGTACGCTGCTTCTTCCAGAATCATGCCCCACAAACAAGCTCATCGAAAGCTATTAAGCAAGATATCTGGGTTTATCATTAAAAAGTGAATCAGAAAGTTTTCTGGGGATCTGCATCGTAGCTTTTAATAAAACCATCGCCCAAACAACTCCGAACAATTTGTTAACGAGCGAAAGCTGAAACGTGCGGCCGCGGTGTTTAGCAGTGCATGGGTTCAGCCCGACATGACTTTTCACGATTGAAGCGTTTCACAGTTATTGTTTACATGTCCGTGCTTCTTAATGAGGTTACGCACACGTGTGGCATGGGTTTACCGCAGTGTTTATCTCACATACCACCCACTGTGCCTCGCATGATCACGGTCATGGAGGAGTGTAATGAGCGGTTAAGTGTGTTTTGCAATGCGTTAATCACAGTGGTTGTTCTCGAACCACGGGCGGTGACAGACGCCGCCGCCGAAACCAGTGTGCCGCTGGAGAAACTCCCGCCGAAAGCGGCCGTTTTTCACGGCGAAAACGCTCCCGCAATCACCACGCTTCTATTTATAGTATACCGGGAATAGCGGGATACCGGGTGTACCGTGATAGCGGGATCGAAGTGCGCATGCGCAGATACGTACGTTACCCGTACAGCTTACCGTATGCGCGCTATTTTACAGATTTAACGTTACCGTGTTAACATAGGTGTACGTAGTGTACGTAAAACATGGCGGCGCTCTCGGACTCCCGCTTCGCTGCGATATTGGCGTATAGTTGTTGAAAGATTTACTTTGTTCGCCACAAACAACTGTTTAAAGTGGCTTCGCTTGCCTTCGGTTAGCTTCGACGACCGCGTATCACCGATAACTTGGCATAGTTTTTGAGATAACTTCCAATTTCTAACGGGTCTTGGCCTAACTGCAAGATCGATGCAAACATGAATGTTTTCGCGTTTGGTGCGTGGTTAATTACTTTTATTATTACTAAAGTAAACTTGTAACAATGCTTCGCCCGTTGACACAGGCATATATTCTCGTTTTCCGTTCATTTTCTCTGATCCTACTTCTCAGCCCTCCGATAGATGGCGCCACTATCCTGCTGCGGCACGTAAACCACGCAAACGCTATCCCGCTAAACTATAAGGACGTTGTCCGCACTAAACTATAGGACGCCTGTTCACGATAACGCAATCCCTTAACCTTTGCTACCACGCTAACGGTAAACTATAACTGCCCATTGGCGCCGCAAAGCAGCGTTGTTGCAAGCGTTTGTGACATGGCGACCTAACTAGGTGGCGTGGTTTGCAAATGCCGCCCGCGACCGGCGCTTGCATTCCCGTTAGCGATGTAGGGCGTCTTGGAAGGCTGATGGATCATTGGTGTGCGCAGTTGCTGCCAAATGTCGGCCTCCCGTTATGGTTTGGGCTCGGACTGCACCCACAGAACACCTACCAGTTCTGCACCTACTCGGTATATGCAAGCTCTCTCAAGTTTCCACTGTCAGCGCTGTTCCAGAGTTGTCCGTGGCATACCCATGTGAAAGGTTTCTGTAGACACTGATACGCGCGCTTGGCCCCACGGCTGCGACGAGACGGACGACGTCACAACGCAGCGAATGGCGCGGAGAACTTGGGTGCGACGCTGCGAACGATACAACTGATAACACAGCCAATCAGGACCGCTCGTGACACCACTGCCAAGCATTTTTAGGGGCGAAGCTGCTTACAGCGGCAACCGTTCGTCTCGCGTAGTATTGAATCAGTCTTACGCTTTGACCTGCAAACATTTTGACCTCCAAGGTGGTGCCGGTGAGAGATTCCTTCTGTTCGTTGTTAAACAACAAAAAATAGTGCTCAATGTATATGCCAATAGCTGATAATGGGGTATGACAGACAGGAGCATTCGGCTTTTAGTTAACGTGCACGCTCCAATCCCCATGAGCAGCCATTGCATGTACATTGAGCACTATCTGAACGGAAAGGGTTGCTACGTTATGCCCTCTGGGAGTACCACCTTAGTTCTAGAAAGGTTTAGCGAGCGTTGAGCCGCAGTGCCATGATTCTCTTAAGATAGAGAAAGGAAGAGAAAAGTGAGCCCCGTTATTGTCTGCTTCAGTGAGCGACACCGCCGCAGGGCTCACAAGGGATGGGGGTGAGAAGGGATAAAAAGGGTAGAAGTAAAGGTGTAGAAAAGAGGAAGAAGAAGCAACAACAAACTGAGGGAATAGGAGAGACAGGAAAGATGGAAGCACGGTCACTGGAGTCCGAGGACGGGGTACACTTGCGAGAGATGTCGGCGTCTGTAGATGGCGTAGAGCAGGTCCAGTAGGTCAGAGCTACACTGTCGTCGAAGGTCGTCGGCGACAGGAGGTGACGTAGGGCCAGCCCAGTCGGCCAGAGCTACAATGACGCCGAAGGCCGCGAGCGCGCGGAGCACGCGGGCGCACAACCGGTCGGCACGGAATCCAGCGAGCGAGTCCGCAGTGCCATGAATACAATGAACTAGTATATATCATGAATGAACTCGAGGTAGTTAAATGTGGGAAGTAGGTACGAAGTGCAAGCCGTAAGAAAGTAAAAGCCGAATTCTCCTGTCTCTCATTTCCCATGCAGCCATTGGCATGTACATTGAGCTCTATCTGCCAGGAAAAGGTTGCTACGTTATACTCGCTGGGCGTAACCTCCTTGGTTTTAGAAAGGTTTAGCGAGTGTTGGGCCGCAGTGCCATGAATACAGTGAACTAGTATATACCATGAACTCGAGGTGGTTAAAGGTGGGAAGTAGACACGAAGCGCAAGCTATTAGAAAGTGTGCGTGTGCCACCTCTCGTTTAGTCCTTGGAATGTCCGCTGGATGGCGGTGTTTCTATATGGGGAATATATGATGAAAAGATGCGAGATGGTGGTACTTGGAGTGTTGAATAGATGGACGAACGGACACACAGACAGATGCATGAATGGACGCAACAACGGACGCAGGGGCGGATGCATGGACGAACGTAGGAACGGACGCACGCACGTACGGGTGGATGGACGCATGGACGGTCGCACAGACGGAAGCAAGCAAGAACGAATGGACGGACGAATGCTTCACCCCACCCTCCATCATTCACTGCGTGGATATCCTGCCAACTTTTTTTTTTTCGTCTCCCGTTGTAATGCACAGCTTTCGCTGCAAAAACTATCACCTATACTTACACGCGATTGTCCACGGAATAAAGCCGCGAAACATTTGCATGACAAGCTCGATAGGATCAGAAGCTTCATATCACCACTGAAAAGAAATAAGAAAACTAAAATAGAACACAATAACAGAATTAAGAAGCTTTTCTCAAAAGAAAGTGTCCTAAAGAGAAAGAATTATCTTGATTTATGACACCTGTGAAACCCACCCCGAAATCGAGGTTCATTTTGAAGGTAAGACCGATCGGCTGTGGTTCACGGGTGTTCTCGCGGTCAGCATTCGGTAAAAAAACGGTTTATGGAGATCAAGCTGCACGTCCGCAGCAGCTGTTCAACGTGTTCCATTTTCACCTCGGGACAGCTTTAAGCTCTCCCATAGTAGAGTACCCTGTGCTCTAAATCGTTACCCCCTTTTTCTACACCCCCCCCCCCCCCCCCTTACGCAGACTGTATTTTGCGGTCGCATTTGGTACCTTTCTCACGTCGTGCAACCATCTTTACGTATCGTGCGATCACTGCAGTCTGCTTTGTGTTCCTTTTTTTTGGTCAGGCGGCACTGAGTTGGTCTCTCGCGCGGCACTGGGGCAGCAGCGTTCTCAGGGAGGCTTTGCTTTCCCTTCAGTGTCCATACGCTGTCGGCTGCTGGCACTGCGCTTCCTTTTGCGCCTAGTGCAAGGGGAGGAATCTCCCGCACGAACGCTTGCATATTACTTTCTGGGTACTCACCTTCGGCATTTGATGCCTAATGTGCAACTTAACAGGGGGCCGCAGTCAATAACACTTCCTGCGTTTTATGCAACAACTGTTGCATTTTTTCGCCATGTCAAGTCGAGCTGTCCTGGCATAGATGTTTTGAATAACCACATAGTTGAGACAACTGTTGCTTTGTTGCTTCCGTTGGTCCCGCCAGCCCGCCATGCTCGCTCTAGACGGGTGTCTTGGAGCACCTTAACGGCTTCTTTTCTGCCTGGACACCTCCGGGACTTCATGTGGCGCCTGGGATAGGGTGTGCTTCCAACTCTCGACGGCCTCAAAAGGTGGAGAATGGTCCAGTCAGCAACATGTCCGAACTGCTCCCTTCGGGAAACAAATCAGCATTTTCTGAGGCATTGTGTCATTGCTCGTCTTTATGGAGAGCCGTACATACCGGATTTCACTGCCTCAGAGTAAATCGCTTCGTTTCTTCTGGGCGTTGTTCGCGAGGCCGCTTGGCTTGTCTTCTCATTGTTGCTGGCTCTTTCTGCCTCTGGCGCAACCGCTGCGAGGCGGTTGCAGTGGGCCGCCGCCGCCGCGCGCTCTACCAACACCACCTAGACTTTTTTTCGAAAAAAAGTCTAGGTGGTGTTGGCTCTACCCGATCCTAGAACGATTGTACTCTGAGCTGCTGTCTGTTTTGTGGGAGGAGCTCTTCTTCCTCGGTGAAGAGGAATTTCTTCGGCACTG